TGAGATTACAGGCATGTGCCACCATGCCCAGCTAATTTTTTGTATTTTTAGTAGAGACGGGGTTTCACCATGTTGACCAGGATGGTCTCGATCTCTTGACCTCGTGATCCACCCCCCTCGGCCTCCCAAAGTGCTGGGATTACAGGCTTGAGCCACCGCGCCCGGCCCCCAATGTTTTTTATTTGAAACGGTCTTGCTCTGTTGCCCAGGCTGGCGTGCAGTGGCGCAATCTTAGCTCACTGCGACCTCCGCCTCCTGGTTTCAAGTTATTCTCCTGCCTCAGCCTCCTGAGTAGCTGTGATTACAGGCACCTGCCATCATGCCCAGCTAATTTTTGTATTTTTAGTACAGATGGGGTTTCACCATGTTGGCCTGGCTGGTCTCAAACTCCTGCCTTCAGGTGATCTGCCCTCATCCTCCCAAAGTGCTTTAATTACAGGTGTGAGCCACCGTGCCCAGCCCTTGCATCCAATTGTAAAGTATGACTATCACTACAGAAAGTCCTCTCATGTTTCTTTTCAGTCCCCACCACACTATCAGAGGCAGTGTGGTAGAATAATAATAATAAAGTAATAAAAATTAATCCCACAATATTTTAATCCCCAGTGAAATTATTTTTAAAATTATTTGGGACCAGGCATGGTGGCTCAGGTCTGTAATCCCGGCACTTTGGGAGGCCAAGGCAAGAGGATTGCTTGAACCCAGGAGTTTGAGACCAGCCTGGGCCACATGGCAACCCGCACATCTCTACCAAAACAAATTTTTAAATTAGCTAGGTGTGTTGGTGTGCACCTGTAAGCTGTGGTCTCAGCTACTTTGGAAGCTGAGACAGGAGGATCACTTGAGCCCAGGAGGTCAAGGCTGTGGTGAGCCGTGTTCCTGACACTGCACTCAAGCCTGGGTGACAAAGTGAGACCCTGTCTCAAAAAGAAAACTTATTTGGGAAATCTCTGGATTTCTTAGATCTACTGTTCTTGGTTACAGACTCTATAGAAGTCACAAAAATTTTCCTGTCTTTTCTTAGCTAATAGATATTTTGGGTTTTTTCTTCAAGTTATTCTATATTATAAAACAGGAGAGCTGCTCTTCAAACTGTAGAACAGGTATTCAACAAAAGCTTTTTATTTCCATAATTCCTAATTGCTTGGATCTAAGGAAGAATATATTTAATGGGCAAAAGTCTCAAAAGAAAAAGCAGGTCACTATTGCTCATTCCCATTTATCAATAGTGCAGCTCAGCAAAGCTCACACTGTATTGTGCAAGGTGAAAAGAACCCTCTTAGGTCCCCTGTTGCATGATATGATTAAAGCCTAGTGACAATAAACCAAGCTGGCCTCAGGGCCTGTTTCCTCGACAGTCCTTTTCAACATCAGCACTCCAGGCAGATCAGAACCTTTCAGAGCTAGGGGAAATACGTCCTGCAGTGCTTAATTGTATACCCCTTGAGGCTTGCAGATAAACTCCCTTATCAAAAGAAGACTTGAGTTCCCAACAAGTATTGAGTGGCTCAATTATTTCTTCTTCTGTTCCACGAAAATGGTTTTTCAGTGCAGAGGATAATTCTGCACACATTTATCAGTCCTGGCATGGACCTATCCCTGTGGAGCACATGTGGATGAAACATGTGATACCCAGTTTCAAGGGGTTTACAGTATATGTAGTTCTCTGTTTTATGGGGAGCACCAGGTAGAGAATGACTCCAACTAAGAGGTCAGGCAGGATGGGGAGGGGACTTGTGGAAGAGGGAAATTGTGAACCAAGCCTTGAAAGCTGAGTAAGATTTTGGACAAACATGGATAAGAAGAAAGAGCCAACCATTTTTTACACTGCAGCCCAAGTGATCTTTCTGAAGCACAAATCTAATTATTCCATTTCCTTCTTTAAAGCCATCGGGATGAAAAATATTACTACCCATTTTGCTTTGTGAGATAACGGTGCCCAGCACACAGTGAGTGAGAAAACTGAGGCCCAGGGTGGGGCCACATTGTCTCCAAAGCCATCTAGTTAATGGCAGAATCATACTAGAACTGACTGCCACGGGGCCATGCTCTTCAGCTCCTCAGCAGCCATTCTTGGCTGAACTCACCGGGCAAAATCGAGGTGCCAGCAGGACTGTTTCTTTCTGGAGGCCCTTGGAGATAATCCATTTTCTTGCCTTTTCCAGCTTCTAGAGACTGCCCATATTCTTGGGCTTATGGTTCCTTCTTTCCTCTTTAATGGCTGGTTGAGTCCTTCACACATCACATCACCCTGACACTGCCCCTTCTGTCCTCCTCTTGCACTTGTAAGGACCCTTGTGATGACATGGCCTAGCCAGATTACCTAGAATAATCCCCATCTCAAAGTCCTCATCGTAATCACATCTACAGGGTTCCTTTTGCAATTTAAGATAACATTCTCAGCAGGTTCTAGGAATGAGAATGTGGATGTCTTTAGAGAACCATTATTCTGCCTACCACAGATACAACCTGGCTGTTACCACCAAGGATTGGAATGAGGATCATTCTGGGACTGCTGTAAGATGGTGGAAACTGGAACCAAGTGCTTCCTTCATGGTAAGAAGCCAATGCTGGAACAACACTGAGTGGATGGAGCATTAAGCAAAACAGGAAGGAGCAACTCCTTCTACCCTCTTCCTGGCCTCTAGTCTCTCTCTAGCGCCCCTTGTTGGCAGGACCTCTCAGAAGGCCAGTTGGCTAAGAAGGACTGTAGTTTTGCAGTTTCAGTTCCAGCATCCCAGAGCTGAATATGGAAGGGTGGGTGGGAAGCTGAGAGACAGTAGCTTAGTAACTGACAAAGATGTCACTAAAAAAATTCAGTTTAAACAAGTAATTACATTACATTTAATAAAAAGTTCCAAGTTCCAATATATGATGGTTCTTATAAACTGTTAAGAAAAAGCAACCCAATAAAAGTGGACAGATAAGAATGAAAAATTCACCATGGCTAATAAAAATATGAAAATACTTTTAATCCCATTAGTGAGCAGGGAAATGCCTTAGGGCCTAGATGCAGGAGAAGGAGGTCATTCTTTTTGTTTAGAAGATAATCCTGATCCTTCATTTTGGCACAGCTGAAACACAAATTGGTACACCAAGAATTAAGGATCAGTGAAGAGCAAGAGTTCTCCAGGTAGGAAATAAGCCTGGAACCTGAGCATACAAGCCATGCTAAATGAAGGGCCTTCTTGGGCAATGTCCAGATCTGTGGAATTTAATCTTCAGAAGAACAGTCCATGCAGTGTCTGCTCATTGCAGTGCTCTCAGTTCTGAAATAATAGCCACTTTCCAGAACACTACCAGAGAGGTAGCGCCCACCCTTGAGAACCCCAGACCAGTCCCATTTCCCACAAGCCAGCTGTAAGAAGCTATAAGAAGAAGGAGTGAATTTGGGGTGTGGGGTGGTGATGTGCTCTGGGAAGGGCACAGAGCCAGGAAAAACAAGTTAGAGCCTCTCTAGGCACCGGTGAGTCATGTCGATCATATCATAGATCAATGTCAAATGAGGTAAAACAAATTACTAAAGTGGCCAGGGTACTTCTAGGCTAGTACATAGTTGTGGAAAGAGGAGTTTGGCTTCTTTTGTCTTATTCCCAAACCAGCACAATTTGTCTTCAGTGACCCTTTCAGCATTCTTTGTGCTGACAGTGAGTGGATCAGCTTGGTCTTTTCTGGAGGATAGACAGAAGAGCTAAAAGTATCCAAAAGAAACCAGATAAAGAAAACCTGAAGCCTGAAGACATTTTTCTTGTATGTCAAAGTCCTAATTTTAGACCCAGTTTGAAGGCCCATTATCTAATGCATTACAGTATGGAATTGTAACCCTGCCGCATCTCGAAGGAAACGTCCATCACCAGAAAGAAAACAGCCTGCTGAGTCAATCTTCAACATTCATGGATTCCAGGAGTGGCAAAAATGTTTCTTGACTTTCCCAGTCAGTTGCTTTTTGATCTCTCTCTCTCTCTTGAGTCACCCCTACCCTGAGCCCTGGTTCCAGTCTAGGCTGTAGGAACAGTCCTGGGCCGCCTTCTAAATGTAGCATAAACCAGACCAACAAACCTTTCTCTTGAGGGTTCTGATAGTCCCCAGAACACCCTTTCATGATTTATGCTAAGTGGCTGTCTCTCTCGGGGGGATAAAGGGCAAGGAACAAAAGGATTCTGTGAAACAGGAAATCCTTTCTTCCACAAAGTCAAACCAGAAACTAGACCTTTGGGTTGGCCATAAGTTTATTTGCATATCTGGATGCTGCTATGCTTTTATGCTTTGGAAGCCAGACTGAGATTACAGGTTGAGTATCCCTTATCCAAAATTCTGGGACTAGAAGGATTTTGGATTTTTTCAGATTTTGGAATATCCTGTTTCTCAGGGCTCCCTCCTAAATTATTATCCAGGAAGAAACATAAAACTACACATAAAACTGTATTTCATGATACTTAATAGTTCAGCATCCCTAATCTGAAAATCTGAAATCTGAAATGCTCCAATGAGCATTTCCTTTGAGCATCACATTGATGCTCAAAATGTTTCAGGTTCTGGATTAGGGATGCTGAACCTGCACTGACTTGTTCCTCCCTTCATCTCCCCACGGGCCCTATGTTGTATTTAAGCAGCCCTCCCTCCCTCCTGTCCTGTAACTGTGAGTGCCAAAGTAGCTCAGATGTGCTTGCACTCTAAGCTCTAAAGAAATAATCAGCCACAGTTAATGGCCTATAATTTGTTATTTCTGTATCCTATTCCTCAGGGTTCTCTCCTGTTATCCAGGAAGAAACATAAAACTACACATAAAACTGTATTTCATAGAAACAAAGGAACTGAGCTCTTTTTTCGCTTTGTCTCCCTGTGATTTGAAGCAGTTGGACTTCCTAGATGGAAATGAGGTTCATTGCCGCAGATGGGAAAGGCTGCACACATGGGTTTGCACCATTACGATGCAGACATACATACAGGACTAGCTATATAATTTGCAGGACCTACTGCAAAATGAAAGTGTGGGGCCCTTTAATATGTTAGGAGTTTCAAGCCTGCAACAGAGGAACATTAAACTGAAAGTGGGCCCTTCTGAGTGTGGGGCCCTGTGTAACTGCAGAGGCCACACACCTATCAAGCCTGCTCTGCATGCAGAGAATGGTCTCAGGAATAGAAAGATGAACTCCACCCTGAGAAGGTCAGGAGAAAGCACGGGTGAGGTGATGGGTGGTGTGGCCAAGGACAGTGTCCTCTGGGCATTTCTCTTGAACGCAATCTGCTTGGCATTGGGTATTGGAGGGCCCAAGGATCAGAAAGTACCAATGTACATGAGGACGCGGGAAGGAAGCAGGGACAAAGGATGTGAGAGAATGCTGGAGTTGAAGGAGGGGTGGCAGAGCGAGGGAGTTCTAGGCATGGAATCATCTTGTTTTGTTTTCATTTAATCAACCCATGTCTCTCTCTCTCTTTTTCTACTGAAGTAAAATGTATCAAATTTAGATGAATGATTTTTTTTCCCTCCAAATCTGCTCTTTCCGTTTTTTCACTTTGGTGAATGTAAATCACTGTCCACCTAGTTGTGATCAAGGCTGAAGCTGGGAGTCATCTCTGACTGATCCCTCCCTAAGTCCACAGAACGTCAATTCTATCATTAGTTCCTCTCTTGAGCCTACCCATCTACTTGCTTCATAACCAGTGAAACCACCATCATTCCTGTCCATGACTGTGGCAGCAGCCTCCTCACTTACAGCTTCTGAATCATCTAGACTGGAGTTTAAGTCCTCATTCTGCCACATGTTAGCTGAGTGACCTTGGGCTGGGTTCTTCACCCCTCTGTGCCTCAGTTTCCCCATCTGTAAAGTGGGAATAATAATACCTATCATAGAGCATGGTTGTCAGGGCTAAAGGAAATCAAGAAGTGGCTGAACATCTTCCTTCTTGATCCCTCTCCATCCCTCAGGCCTTCAGTGAAACATTCCTTCCCTTTCCTGACTTGCTCAGTGCAGGTTCCCACCAGCCTGCTCTGCAGGCCTCGCCACACTTCCGTGTCTTCTCTCAGCAGTCCTCTCCAGGAGGACAAGGATCCTGGCTTTCTGTGGCCAATGTGCGTCTGACATGGAGTAGGAATTCACCTTACTATGTGACAGGCATTCTCATAAAGAATCAAATGTTCCCAGGCGTGGACTCCCTGTAAGCTTTCCCCCTAACTATAAGTAAGTGAGCAGGTGACCACATGACAGAAACAAATGACAAAGACCAAGACTATCCTAGAAGATATTAAATTAAACCTGGGGCACTGGGATGGTACATCAGAGCAGATCCCTCTGTAAGAAACAGACCTATGTCAGGTAAGGCTGCCCAAGGAAGCCAGGAAACTGGGTGCTCTAGGTCAACACAGCCAAACTCCCCAGAGAATGCAGTGGGGCTGGACAGGGATGTGACAGACTGGGGCAGGAAGACACTCCAGAGGAAGCAATAAAGGTGGGACCCCTGTGGGCCACCCCTTTGTTCTCAGGTCTTGGAAGTGCCTCATCTAATGCTCCCTACTGAGATCAACAGGGTAAGGGGTGTGCACACTAGGGGGCTAGTGCCCTGAGCCAGTCAAGTCAGAGTTGGGGGAGGGGTGCTAGGTTGTTTTTTATTTTCCCATGAAATAACATACATGTAGGAAAGTATATCAGACATATCTGTAGGGGTTGCTGAATTGTAAACCCACTACTCCAATCAAGCCTTGGAGCATCACTAGCACTCCAGATCCTCCGTAACCTGCTGTCTACATCCTCCTAGAGGCCACTAGGCCTCAGCTTTTAGTTACCATGTCCTCGTACACCCAAAGAATAGTTTTGTTTTGAACTTCTCAAAAATGGAATCATATAGCATGTATTTTATTTTTTCCACTCAATATTTTGTGAGAGTTATCCATGTGGTTATATGTAACTACTTTATTGATCGATTGCTATGTTTTGTGGATAACTGTTTCACAAGTTACTTATTCCTTGTCCTGTGGGTGGACAGTTGTGATGTTTCTGGCTTGTGCATTTTCCATGTCTTAGTGTGAGACTGTTCTTCTGGATGGCTTGCAGGGGAATGGGAGTCTGGGCTGGAAGGGAAGGGAGGGGAAGCAACAGAAGCAGCTCTGGGCATGGGGGGAGAGCAGGTGGGAGGGACCCATGGGTCAAACAGGGCTACTGAAGTACAGAGCAAGGTTGAGGGTACAGAGGAAAGGGTTTTGGAGGGATCCTTGGATGTGTGCTTCTACCCTGAGATTGGACAGGAACACTCCCCACAAGGTCATAACCGGGTTTAGTAGGCATGGGCATGATGCCTCTACCCTCTGTTCCTGCTGCCTGACCCCAATTCCCTGTGGGGTACAGACCAGTTGTGTGCAAGAGAGGCCACACAAGGCAGCTTATTGCAGAATACTGCCCTTGGGGCTCAGAGGAAACACTAGAAATTGACCAGGGAGTCAACCTCTGGTGCCACTCCTTTCCCGGGATGGGCACCCACCAAGAGGTTTGTATTTGGGAAGCTCAGGGATCACTGGCTGCACATCCAGACACTGGCCTACATGGAGGTAAGGTGGCTGGAGCCCTGAAGGAAGGGGACTGCGCTGCTGACCACTTGCCTGGACCTCACCTGTACGGGAAGCGAGGCCACCCCCGGAGCCCATCTCTTGGAGACTTCAGTAGCCTGGGCAGAGCTTTCTATTCCTTTCCAGAAAACCTGTTCTGGCAACACCCCAACCTCAGTGTTTCTTGTTGGGGACTGTCCTGGCTGGAGGTGGCCAAAAGTCCTTCCCACACCCTGAGAGACCTATTTCCCTCTTCTCTTGGGTTTGGCAGATAATGAATAAGAGGAGGGATGCAGTTGCCTTGGAGCTGGCAGACTGCACGGCAAACAAGCAGGAGTCCCACCACCTCCCATAGAGACGACACTGGAATGCAGGTAAGGTGCTGGAAATCAGTCACAGATGTTCAAGGGTAAGCTTTGGCAGGACGCCATTCTTCCTGCTGTAGATCAGCCAGACTTTGTAAAACATAATCTATTTCCTCACTGGATCCTCAACAGTCCCATGGGCAAATCAAACATCCCCATAGGTGAGAAATGAAAGCAGAGTAGAGTGGTCAACCCCCCACCCCATAAGTGATTGAGGGTTAGAACACAGGTCTCACAACACGGGGTCAGGGCTGTGCACACGCAGGCACTTGCCTAGACAGACACTGAGCTCTAGCTTCATCATTTCATGTTTGATTTTCTATAATGTAATCACTCACAGGATCATTGACCCCCGAGGGAACTTGTCCCTGCATTAGAAGGGAAACTGTTTAGTTGTGGGAGCTCCTCCTGAGAAACAGTCCATTTTATGTTATTTATTTTTGAGATGGGAGTTTTGCACTTGTTGCCCAGGCTGGAGTGCAATGGCTTGATCTCTGCTCACTGCAGCCTCCACCTCCCAGGTTCAAGCAGTTCTCCTCCTTCATCCTCCCAAGTAGCTGGGATTACAGGCGCCTGCTACCACACCAGCCTAATTTTTATATTTTTAATAGAGATGGGGTTTCACCATGTTGGTCAGGCTAGTCTCAAACTCCTCACCCCTGGTGATCCACCCACCTCGGCCTCCCAAAGTGCTAGGATTATAGGCGTGAGCCACCGCACCAGCCAAAACTGAATTTTAGTGAGCAACTGATTCCTTCTTGCAATGGTGATAGCTTCATGCATGATTTACTGAGTTTTGGAAACAGTCCTGTGTAAACCCAATGAAACAGCACTAGCATTTTAACATTCGGTGTTCTTTAGAATTGCTCTTGAACCCTTTTCTGCCCTGGTTTAGGCCTTTTATCATGAAGTGGCCTCTTACTGCTCTTTCCACCTCATCTTGCCTTACCTCCCGGCACCCACTCCCAGTCAGCCTGGCTCCAGGAGAGACTGGGTAGTGCAGCGGTTGAGAGTGATCTCAGGAGGCAGAGGGCCCAGATTCAAACCATGGCTCAGCTGCTTACTTACTGTGTGACCTTGGGCCAGGGGTTAACAGCTCTGCTGGCTCAGTCATCTTCGTTTCAAGTGAGGCTACCATAGTACCTCCCCAGGTTAATATAATGTGTTATTCATGGAAAGTACTTGAACAGTCCCTAGCCCATAACAAATATTAATTGTTATCATCTTGTTCCATTCTCTGTCCAGAAACCTCACATTCCTATAGAATTAAGACCAGTGTTTGACCTGACATAGGAGACTTTTTTGGCCTAAGCTTTTAACAGATATTTCCTGCCTTTCCTGTTCGCTAACCCATGCACCCTGGCTCAGATCCCGAAACCCACCCTCTTGCCTTGGGTCACCCTGACCTCATAACGCCATCTGTTGAAGTCACTGCTATCCCCCAAGGGGCAGGCTCCCTGCTCAGATGTGCATGTATGTACCCTTATTCCTCTGAGCTGTATCTCTAACTAGTCAGTATCCAAGTTCCTGTAGCCACTAGTTGTGGAGAGAGCTAAAGTCATCAAACATGAAAAGCATTCTCTACACAACCACAGAAAATCACTCTCCACTTAAGCATCTCTCCCTCCTTAACACACATGCCATCCACTGCAGCCCAACTTTCCTCTCTGCCATGGGTTGTGAGATGTTGAAAATACAACAAAACAGGTACCAAAGTACAATTTAAGTTTTGTGAAATATGCAGACTTTCACAGTTGGGGAATGTGTTGGGAAACTGCTCAGATGAGCGTAACCATTGGCAAATAAGGATCTCAGAGAGTAGGTCCGCTAACAGATGAAGGAGAAGCGGACATGTCTAACCAGTTAGGTGCTGCCTAGGGGCATAATGTGAATATCAAAGACTAAAGGATTTAAGTGGGAAATTAAGGAAGTACTTGACTAACTTTTCCTAAAATGATCCTGTAATTGATTACACTCTAGAAAATCAAACATGAAATGATGTACTATTGTGCAATCATATAATTTGGGGGAGGGAAATACACCTAAAGTATTATTTTTTTGTTTTTGTTTTTTTTAAAGACGGGGTTTCATCATATTGGTCAGGCTGGTCTTGAACTCCCGACCTCAGGTGATCCGTCCGCCCTGGCCTCCAAAGTGCTTGGATTACAGGTGTGAGCCACCACGCCCGGCCTTAAAGTATTATTTTTAAGCATTAGCCTGGTTGGGAGCAGTGGCTCATGCCTGTAGTAATCCCAGCACTTTGGAAGATCAAGGCAGGTGGATCATTTGAGGTCAGAAGTTTAAGATCAGCCTGGCCAACGTGACGAAACCCCACCTCTACTAAAACTACAAAATTAGCTGGGCATAGTGGCCCGTGCCTATAATCCCAGCTACTCTGGAGCCTGAGGCACGAGAATCTCTTGAAGTGAGCCAAGATCGTGCCACTGCACTCCAGCCTGAGCCACAGAGCGAGACTGGCCCTGTCTCAGTAACAACAGCAAAGAATTAGCCTGTAGTTGCAATTACCTTTTGTTAAAATATTTTAACAAAACAGTGGGAGAGGGCAGGGCGCCTGTAATCCCAGCACTTAGGGAGGCTTCGGCGGGTGGATAGCCCAAGGTCGGGAGATCAAGACCAGCCTGGCCAACATGGTGAAATCACGTTTCTACTAAAAAATACAAAAATTACCTGGGCATGGTGGCACGCACCTGTAATCTCAGCTATTCGGGAGGCTGAGGCAGGAGAATCACTTGAACCCAGGAGGCAGAGGTTGCAATGAACCAAGATTGTGTCAATGCACTCTAGCCTGGGTAACAGAACAAGACTCTGTCTCCAAAAAACAAACAAAAAACAGTGGGAGATACTGGTTCAAGTCGACAAAATTTCAGTTAGGAGTAGGTTAAAGGGCTCCATCTTACCAGCTGGTAATTTAGGTAATAACAATGTATTGTATTCCTGAAAATCCCTAAAAGGGCAGATTTTAAGGTTTCTTACCACATCACCACACACAAAAAATGCATACGTTAATTAGCTCAATTTAACCATTCCATAATATGTACATATTTCAAAACATACTGTATATACAATTTTGTCAATTCAAAAAGATACTTATTACAATAATAGTTTCATTTTGCAAGATTAAATTCAGATCAAACCTTTTTCACTCTGTGCTATATCAAACACTGGTCTCCATTTTAAATGGGTTGTCTCTAAGAGGCTTTTTCAGGTCCTGTTCTTTTTAGATGAGGGTGTGAATATATTTATCTGGCTGATCATCTTCCCTAACAGGCAGCATATTCTTCAGGGCAAACAGTGCTTGAGACAGAAGTGCCATATCATCTCATGGAATGGTAGGGTTGGAGATATGTGTGAGTCACCAGTGAGGCCTGTACAGAGACTTAGCCTTCAATTCCTTACTATATGAAGGAGTCACAGGGCAGATCCAGAGTTGTCAGAAGCCAAGACCCTCTGTGGAACACTGGTTAGGGTCCTCAGCAATGAGCGGTGGTGACAGAGTTTCAAAGCAGAACAGGGCAGAGGGTGCCTGAGCAGACAGCCAGGCTCTTGTTCTCAGCTAGATCTGGGCTTTTCAGCATTGGCAGGGCCTCAGAGGGCATGGAGTGCCTTCGAGAGCAGCAGGATGACCTGGAAGACATGTGACTGACAAGGGTGTTCAGGTAGGCCCAGGTAAGGAGAGGCAGAGGGATAGGAGGGCAAACTGGCATTGGCGTTCACCCTTGCACTAGGTGCTGACTGCATCCTGCAACAGAGGATAAAAGTGAAGAGCAGATGCTGCGGCCTCTTAGTTCAGGGGATGCCCTGAGACATCTCTGGCTGACGAGGCTGAGCTGTCTTCAGGTCCAGGAGAACTAGTCCGCAGGTTAATGCCACCGAGCTGCGCGGGGGTGCATGTGAAGCATGGCCACATAGACAGGTTCAGGTGGGGACACCTCATGCTCTTGCAGTCTCCCCAGGTGCCTGCAGAAGGAGGCCTCTAGGGACTTAGGACTGGTGTATAACAGGCCTCCATTTTCAGCACTTTGATTTCTGCATGTCCATGTAGGACGAGGGCAGAGAGCTGAGCCTCAGAGCAGTAATGCCAAGGGAGCAGGTAGGAGGGCTGCCTGCAAAGCCTCACAGGCCACCTGCAGAGGGAGAAGAACCGTGGTTGCAGATTGTAGAATGGTTGCAAGAAGGAATGGTTTGGAGTGGGTCTAGAGTGTGTGGCTGGTCCTTGGGGACACCCAGTGTTGGGGTGGCAGGGGGCAGGAGGAGGAAGGGGTGGTAAAGCAAAGACCATATAGAACTGGCCACTCTTTCTATGAGTTTCACAGTTAAGGGGATGAGCAAGACAGGGTACTTGCTGGAGGCAGAGACTTGAAAGAATTTGCTCTGCAGGCTGGACGACTGGACAGCTTTAGGGACAGAGGAAGGAGCCAGCCAAAGAAGGTTGGAAAAAAAGGCTGAGGCCATGGTGGATGTGGGTGGGACAGAGCCCCAGACCATCTATTCTGGCTGTGTCGTTTTATCACTTACTGAACCATTCCTGTTCCCTAACAACAAAAGTGTGAGAATTTCTGGCAGAAAAACCTGTACCATGATTTATTCTGTAACAGACAACAAAAATGAGTAAAGCCTTGTTGCATAGTATTTTTTAAAAACAAAACCAAGACAACTCACTAGATAAAGGTGGTAATTCAGTTACCTCTAGCAAGTGGGAATTTCACTTGTACTTGTGTAGACTTTTTTTTTTTTTTTTGAAACGGAGTCTTGCTCTGTCACCCAGGCTGGAATGCAGTGGCAAGATCTCAGCTCACTGCAACCTTTGCCTCCTCCTGGGTTCAAGTGATTCTCCTGCTTCAGCCTCCATAGTAGCTGGGATTAAGATGTGTGCCACCATGCTTGGGTGATTTTTTATTTTCAGTAGAGATAGGGTTTTACCATGTTGGCCAGGCTGGTCTCAGACTCCTGACCACAAATGATCTGCCTGCCTTGGCCTCACAAAGTGCTGGGATTACAGGTGTGAGCCACTCTACCCAGCCTTGTATACATTTTCATATTACATTAATGAACACTCTTATTTTAAAATGCAAAATATAATTGGAAAATTCCACAGTAGAACCTTTTGTGTAGTGAAAGCAGCCTCCAAAATGCCTCTGTAAATGAATAGGTTCATGTACTAGGTTGCTCAAAGTGCCTTGCAGTCCCCAGAGCCTTTCAGCCCCCATTTCTTGGCAGAACAAGGGAGTGCCAGGAGAGCACTTCCTGCAGCACTGCAAGCACTCAGATCCTAGGAGCCTGGCCTGTGCCCATGTCAGCAAAAGGAGTAGTATGTTGTGTTTTTTTTGTTTTGTTTTGTTTTTTTGGTAGAGACAGTCTCACTGTTGCCCAGGCTGGAGTGCAGTGGTGTGATCTCGACTCACTGCAACCTCTACCTCCAGGGTTCAAGCAATTCTTCTGCCTTAGCCTCCCAAGTACCTGGGACTACAGGTGCACACCGCTATGCTCAGCTGATTTCTTTTGTATTTTAGTAGAGACGGGGTGTCACCATGTTGCCCAGGCTGGTCTCAAACTTCCGAGCTCAGGCAGTCTGCCCCCCCTTGGCCTCCCAAAGTGCTAGGATTACAAGTGTAAGTCACTGTGCTGGTCGTTTGCTTCTTTTTCAGGAGGAAAACAATCTCCTTGGAGTCACTCAGCACTGGCATCTCCAGCTAGTGCCTGAGGATGGCCTCTCAGGCATTGCCACCTCCAGTGGCTGCATGGGCCTGGCCTGCTCACTGGCCTGAATGTAGTGGTGCCCAGGGTCTCCAATGCCAGGAGATCACATTAAAACCTTTGGGTATTTGGAAAAGGGAACAGAAAGCAGGGGTGGTGGGACAGGAGGAAGAGCAGTACTACTGCTGACAGTTGTGTCCCCACCCCCACCAAGCTTCCAAGATGCTGTTGCAGCAGGGAGAAAGCACTGCTCTGGGACCTTTCTCCCACTCCTTCCACAGCTCCCCTCCCTGAATCAACCTAAGGAGGGTGCTGCAGGAGGGGCTCCTTGGATGTGCAGTTTCCAGAGGTGGCTGCCCCCTTTTCTGGGGCATGAAGCATCCTGTCTGTGGACAGGCAACAGCTCGGGCTGCTTAGCCCAGGGAGTGGCCTCTCAGCTCCTCAGGGGGCTGCTGCTCCAAAACCACTGGGGCAGGGAGAGTTCAACCCCACCCCATTTCCTTCCAACCTAACTGTTCGGACTATTGAGAGGCACACCATTCTCATGGTTTCCACTTCACTCTGTCCTCATCTTAGCAATGCATGCTGGCAAGCTGACATCTGTCTTCCCAACACTAGGGGTCTCTAGTTTGGCAGTAATAAGGCAGCAGCTAGCTGGCTTCTTACTGAATCAAATGAAAGAAGAGAAAGAATCAGGTCACCCCCAAGGGGCCAGGGGCTACACTTATGTCCCCAGGGAGCTGCTCCAGTACACAGTGTATGCCAGCACGGACCAGCACTTTCTGGGGGACTTGAATCCAGTTCTAAGGATTGATCTTCCAACTGGCAAAGTACAGCAACCACTCACCACCAACTCATGTCTGCCTGAACTCGGAAGACACAGCCTTCAATATACTCGGCAACCTTGAGCTCCTTTGGCATTGGAGAGGGTGGGGATGGCCATCTGAACGAAAGGCCTCCACTTCTTCTTCCAACCTTGGGCTCTGGGATTTATTCTTAAAGGGATGCTAAGAGCAACACGGCCTGGACCCAGGCCTCTGTGATGCAGGGGTGATGTCCACCTGGCTCCACCTTACCCACTCCTCAGCCTGCGAAGTTAGTCTACATCTTCTGGCTTCATCTTTAGTCATGAACTTAAACTCATCAGTTTAAGGACGTGAAGTCATCTCTGTCTTCGCAGGATTGCTGCCATCGCAGGACTCAGGCATTCTTAGATGCTACCTCAACCCCAACAAGCAGTTTCACTTCCCATTGGCTCCATATCTTAAAGCATCAATGCACATGCAGACCACCGTCTGTTTAAAAAATGTTAATTTAAAAATCAAACACTTATATGAGGCTGGGTACAATGGCTCACGCCTGTAATCCCAGCACTCTGGGAGGCTGAGGTGAGCAGATCACCTGCCTGGAGGTCAGGAGTTCAAGACCAGCCTAGTCAACAAGGTAAAACCACGTCTCTACAAAAATACAAAAGTTAGCTGGGCATGATGGCAGTTGCCTATAATCCCAGCTACTCAGGAGAATCACTTGAATCCGGGAGGTGGAGATTGCAGTGAGTGAGCTGAGATCGCACTCCTGCACTCCAGCCTGGGCAACAGAGCGAGACTCTGTCTCAAAAAAATAAAAAGACAAAAATAAAACACATATGAACTTTAGTTTTCTTCAGCTAATGATTCATTTGTAACTTAGTGCAAAACTCAGATTGGAATGCTTCAAAGTCAAATGTTTACTCCTGTAAGGTGGAAGCCAGAACAGGGTCTAGTTTGAACACGCAGTGGAATGGAAGTGCTGCCTGGCTCCGATTGTTCCAAATGCCTGCTAGAAGCCAGAGACAGAAATGCCATCTAATTTCACGGGACAGTGGGAAGGAGAACGTTTACTAGGCCCCCACCTTCCCACTCCATTTATATGCCAAGTGCTCTGCTTTAAGATAAGGAAATATTTCAGAGTTCCTCACACACCCACGAGCAACTCGTCTGGTGCTGCAGGGCTAGGTCCCGCCCCGGGTCTGTGGGCTCTAAGACACAGGTGCTTTCCACCAAACTGGTGGTTTTCAAAGCAACTTTTGTGGCACGGCTTCAGGAAAATTTGTCCTGATGATAATGTCCTGATAAATATTAATAACCATCTTTAAACTATGTACACTCAAAGGTTTAAAACACTTTCCCTGAGGCTGCTTGAGACTTCACTGTAAGGTCTTCATTGCTATGTGTATGTGGCTTTTGCAAGGGTCACTGACTGGGAGGGTACCATCTTAGTGCTATGATCGTTAGACCCAGGGCCATCTCAATCCTGGTGGCCCTGACCATGGAGTCATTTTAGTGCTTATAAACCTTTGGGTATCTCTTATCTGATATATGGATGATAAAGACTGAAAGCCCATTTTGGATATTCTTCTATTAATCCCTTTTCTCAGGCATCTACTTCAGTTTTTTCAATAACAAGAGATTGCAGGCAAGCTATGACTACCACTATTTGCAACCACTTACCTATAACTCAGATTTTATAAAACTCCCCCGTATTGTATAACTAAAACAAAATCCAGAAATAAATTGGATGCTGGGACAGTTCACAATGGACCTATTTGCACTAATGAAAAATGCTCCCTCCCAGACCCCACTGATTTAAGATGACTTAAACCTTGATGATTCATGCTAATAACATTTTTTATGTATTGCAAAGGTTAAAAACAAAAACACTGGATTAGACTATCACAACCTTTTGATTTAGGTTAAGAGGGAGAGAGGGGCTCATAATTCAAACCTCATAATAGCAACCACCTAAGCTCCTCTCCAAGATTTCAACAAGAACCAAGTTAACATAGCTATTTACAAAAGGCTTTCTAGAGGCCCAAGAGCACAAGAAGGGGACTAGGAGTCAGGAAAGTTTTTTTTTTTTTTTCCTTCCCCAGATAGGGTCTCGCTGTGTTGCCCAGGCTGGAATGCAGTGGTGTGATCATGGCTCACTGCAGCCTGGAGCTCCTAGGCTCAAGAGATCCTCCCACCTTAGGCTCCCAAGTAGTTGGGACTACAGGTATGCACCACCATGACTGGCTAGTTTTTATTATATTTTTTTGTAGAGATGGGTCTCAACATATTGCCCATGCTGGTCTTGAACTTAGACTCATGTGATCCTCCCACCTCAGCCTCCCAAAGTGCTGGGATGACAGGCATGAGCCACCACCCTTGGCCAAGAATGACTTTTCAAATTTTGCTGTTAACTCATTAATAATCTGGATGTCTTTGGCCCTCTGAGCCTCAGTTTCCTCAGTGAAAAAGGAAGAGACTGGATTAGTGATTTTCAGACTTTTAAGGAACAAAACCTTTCTTCATATGAGATCTTACTTTTAAGTCTAATAAAGCTTTGAATGTTTAGACTCCCTCTCCACAATGGCCCCACAGAACAGTATGAAAACCGTGGAAGTAGGTGATCTAAGGTCCCTTCCACCTCTAAACATCAGGAATCCATGTAGCCTTACTCTGGAGGACAGTGACCACCCCCCTCCACCCTGCACCGAACCCCTCCTCACTGAGAGCCTCTCTCTCCTAAGAGGCTGAACTGATTCATACCCTGACCTAAGACACTGCATTACAGCACTGGCAGGAGAACCACAGTGACAACCCAAATCCAGGGCTCAACAAATGTTTGTGGGTGAAAATGACAGATTTATTCAACTTAAATGGTCATCGAGGCTACAGCAGAATCAGTGCTGTCAACAACAGGCAAGCACTACTGTCAGCAGCAACACATGGTTTACTTCAGCATCTGAGCCTCATAGGTTTTCATTTAAAAAAAATCTTATAAGCCAGTTGGAAAGCTGTTAAAGGCCAATTTTAAATGCCAATGAAAAACAAATTTCACTGAAAATACAATTCAAATACAACTGCTATGAGCACTGTAAGAAAAATTGACTAATAGATATAATAGAAAAGACTTTAAATGGCAAATAAAATAGCAGCATTGAAAAACTTGGTAACTCATTTCAGAAGATGCCCTTCCCCTGCCCAGAACCTTCATGCCTCTAAACAGCTGCCTAGGCTAGGAGAGGCCTGTTCAAGCAATGAGGCAACTGGTATCTGCAGAGAACATGCAGGAGATGAACTCTACACCAGCCCGAGAGGAACAAGGCCTCAGTGCATTTATGTGCTAGGGACAGCAGGACTCATGTTTAAGTGTCAGAGGCTTAGAAGGGTCAGCTCTGAACTAGAAGTCTCTCACACATCTGCTCCTGCCCTTGAGAAATCTTGTCAGTAACCTCAACGTAGAACAACCTCCTTGAAAATGTGACTAACAGCTGGGACTCCTACCACATTATCCAAAACTTCAAATGGATAGTCACTTTGCTCCACAGTCCAGGGCCCATTTTAAATTCTGCTGTAAGGCCTCACCTAATGCAATCAGGTAGATACAGCTGCAGCCCTGGCTGGGGACAGGTCACTTGAACTAGCAGCAGCTAAATGAAATCCTGCAACAGCACCTCCAAATCAGCCCTCATTCTTAAAAGAACAATACAGGTCAGGGCTAGTGTTCAACAGTCATGGGATCTCCTAGCCTCATGTGCAAGCAGTCAAGTATATCAGGATAGACCTTTAATTCTCATCTTGATGTTTTTTAATAGCCAGAGATTGTTTTAACAGGTCCTCCAGCACCTTCTGTTCATTCTCCTTTACACTTACCAAGTAATATTACAATTCATAGGATACTCTTTGCTTACGTTAGCATATGAGCAAAATTACTAGAGGAAAACTTTTCTGTACATCCTGGAGAATCTCAGTGGATTAAGGCAGCTGTAACTTTTTTGAACTGCAGTTACGGAGGCCAAGGCATAGAAAGAAGATAATGAGTGCGCCAGGATAGGAAAGTTCTGAGATGAAGACAACCTGGCATCTCAAAGTCACTGTTCGTGCCCTGTTGCTTCAGACCAAAATCCTCTTCAGCGTGAAGCAAGCTGGCCTTGCCCTCAGAGAACTGCCCTTCTCCAGATGCAGCCACCTCCCTCAGGGCAATTCCTTGCCTTGGATTCTCACTGGACCTGCCTCGCCAGCCATCTTGGCTCTTCATCATTCTACCCCCAGAGAAGCTTTCCATTTAGAGGCTCTCAACAGCCTTGCTAGGCCATGCCAATGTTTTAATTTGCTGGGAGCTAGCCCACAGAAACAATAGTGGCTGGGTGTGGGTGTAGACACATGCTGGCTATGGCACAAACTCAGGTTTTTCACAACATGGTCTGAATACACAGACTGGGCTCCCTGGCGGATTGAAGGTAGCTGAGGTTGTGCCCGCTCCTTCGACAGAAGAATGACTTGTTTTCAAATGTCTGCTGGGTGGCACAGCTTTCAAACTAGAACCAGCTCAGCTGGTCTTATGTCTTTGTGTACTTTAGGCAGAGGATACATTCAGAAAGTGAACCTAGAGAGACTGACCCAAAGAGTGATGGCCTCCAGGGGGCTCTGAGCCACCAGCAGGTCACTCTCTGGATCCTAGCCAACTCACCGCAGATGTTGGGCTGATGACTCTGCAGCCAGGCACCCCTCAATACCAACCTTCCTGAGGGAGGAACGGAATAATGTATCTCACGCACAGAACCATGGGATGGGATGGGAGGGATGCCCAACAGCACTGTAGGGAAAGAAAAAATCTACCTCTGTGAAGAACAAGAACTAGTATTGAAGTGACTATAGACGCCACAGCCCTGCCCGATGAGCTAAGGAGCAGAGGTTCGTCTATGTGGAGAGGGCAGGAAGGAGACTTCTAGTTGACTGTAACCCAATCACACCTAATTCCGTTTCTGCTCCCAGTTCTCTCTGCCCACTCACAGTCTTACCATCCGAGAACAACAGGCAGAAGCATTCTCTCGCCCGCACCCCACATCTCCTTCCACTCCCCCACTGAAGGGGCCAGAGTGCTGGCTGCCGAGATTAGAGCAGCAGCTAAAAATGGAGCCTGAGGCGAGAGGTAGTTGTAATTCCTACTCATGTGCAACTCTTCAGAGAAGGAAGAACAGCTGCCGGGTCAGATGCCTGACTGCTTTGCCCTTTTAGCTTGGGAGATTTTAGGAGCAAAATCTCTGTGTTCAGGGCTTGGATATCATAGTGAGGGTCCTTACCAAGCTCTAGAGTTGGAAGGAAATCTGTAGCTTTCCTTTGCCAAAGGTCGGATTGCCAGCAGCCCCTCAAAAACTTCTGTGTGAGAGGGAAAAGGATGAAGAGGGGAAAAACCACAGGGCAAAGAATTAGAAAGTGTTAGCAAAAGCTACCATGCGGAACACTCAACTTTATTCACTTTATTTATATATTTAACAATTCTAAAGTATTTACTTCTTGCGCTTTGACAAAAAAATTAAAAATATAGGAGCACTGACTGACTCCTCTTTAGGAGAAAAGGGTTATATGTACAGCTATGGAGAGTTACGGTTCCTCCTTTAACAAAGGAAAATATTAATAAAAAAGTGCTTCATTGATCAAAAAAGGGCTAAGAGCTGCAAGCATTTATTCACACTGTACATCAGACCCAAGAAACCCGTATCATAACCTCTTGGCACCTGTCACTAGGAACTGCACAATCTTCAATTAGACCACCTTTTCCTTACCTGCACGACTAGATGACACAGAATGTGGAAAGAATACACCCTGTTTCACCAAACTCAAACTCTGAGCAACCTGTTGCTGCTGGAAGTCATAGATGTGCTCAGATGCTCTGGGCTTTGCCTGGACTGACAGCACCACGGAAGGCTTCTGGGCCATGCCTTAACCACACCCAGGCATGCACAGGCGCCACCTTCCTGAGACACAGCTTGCCCTTCGGTCAGGGAACTGCTACCAAAGGAGAAGAGGAATAGAGGGCAGGGCCAGAGCCTAAGCGTTCCCTGACCTTACCCCTAGCCCTCACCATGATCCACCCTGTCACCAGTTAGCAGCTTTCAGCAGAGCCAAGCATGGCCTCCCCAAGAGGGAGAGCAGGCACAAAACATGGATGCCAAGATTACAAAGCACAAACTTAACTCTTCTCCAGCCTTCCCCACGCCCACCTTCACCACAAATATTCTTGATTTAAGGCTGTTTTTGGACCCTATCAAAGCTCACTGAGGAAAGGTATCCCGAATCTCCTCCAGGCCATGTCACTACTCTAAATGGCCCTTCACTGCTGGCCAGCAGCCAAACAAGTGGTCACTCAGCCAGCCAGGAGTGGGGAAGAGGGACTGTTCAGTCCTTCTTCCTGTTCCAAGGAGGAGGAGGAGGAGGAAGGCTGATTGTAAAAGGACCTGCTTCCCTTTCCAGGGGCTTGTAACTCTAAAGGCTGATTCTACCCCTTAAAGGGAAGATCCATGATTGGTTTGGTTTGGGAATGGGGGAATTCTGGAACCCTGAGTCTGGATTTCCCGGTGCTGGCTGAGGAAGAGATTGTTGAGGGACTCAGGTGTGCCTGGGCTCAGGGCACACTTTGACCTTGAATGGATAACTATTTTGGCCAGTCTGTACTCATGCCTGAGGGTAGGAAGTACTACATAGCCTAGCCCAGGGAAGCAGCCCCCTGAAAGCAAACAGAGCCCAAGACAATCTGGGTCGAGTTAAAAATAAAATCCCATGGGAGATAACATGATGGCCACCCACTCCTGGCCCCTTGCCTGCCTCAAAGGAGCATACAATTTCCTTTCCCAAAGAGGGATCTAAGGGGATGCCATTTACCATGTTCCCCTCCATCCAGACATCAGACCCATTTATCCATCTGTGAGGGAACTGGCTCAGCTCCTCACAGGAAGGAGATGAGGTCCAGGGCAGTGCTCTTAGGGAACATGCTTCCAGCCTCCCCAGTAGCAAAGAGTTCCCAACCAGCTCTGATGTGGCAGTGGCGTGAGGAGTGGTTGCTTGTTAGCACTGGCTTTCTTCCCTGCTTACTCATATCTCCATACTCCTGGCTCTGACCACCGTCCTCCCACCTGGAAGAAACAAGCCATCCCTCGGTGTCATCTGACAGCAGGCAGCTGGGCAGTTACCGCGGGCCTGGCAACCTCCGGTCTTCCATCAAAAAAAAAAAAAAAAAAAAAAATTAAGACAACGAAGGGACAGTTTCCTTTTCTGAAGGCAGAGGAGGAGGATGGAAAAGGTAGGGAGTAAGGGGACCGGAAAGAAAAATCAATCTACAATCCAGTGGTGCATCCCAAATTTCTGTCACTCTGTACAGGTTGTTCCACACCCCCCTTCCAAAGAGCATGGGCCTCTCAGTCTACCCAGGCTGTGTGGGCCTGTCATAGGAACAGCAGCTTGGCCACTGCCCACCCAGGTCACTGAGCTTCAGTTGGAAGTGGCAGCAATGGGCTTATCCAGTTCAAGGTCAATGCTGGAGCTTGTAGGATGTAGGCTGCTATAGCAAGACTTGCATACTCGACTGGGTTCAAAGAGCTGCTGGCTGGGAACTGGAACCTTCTGGTTACAACAACTGGAGCAGAATACGTTCCCACAATTCCTTGAGATAAGAAGAAACAGAAGAATGTTAGTTTTGGCCAGCAGGTATGCAGTAGGGAAACCAACTTCAAAAAACAAACTTTGCTGTGTATAATTTGCATGTGCTGGAGCTCCTCGAGATCAAATCCTTTCATCTCTCTAGTCCAGAACAAGCTGGGTAGGGAAGGTGTCCCTACCTAGCAGAGTTAAATGTCATTTTCACTTTGGGGCCAAGGATACTTGGCTGCCTCACCACTCTGATTCAAAGCTACCAGGTATACAGAAGGATGCTGCTCAAAAGAGATCTGCAAGAATACATGGGCCTAACAATGGGCTAGTCCTGATCCAAGAAAACCCAGTGGCCACACCCACCTAGGCAATGCCCTCTGTGTAGCTTGTGATCACAGAGGCCAGGCTCCTCAAACAAGAGAAACAACTACCCAGCCTCACTGGGGAGTAAGGAGCCTTGGCCAACGACCACTTCTCCAGAGGATCAAAGACAGCAACATGGTAGACAGGCAGCTGCCATTTTGGACTGCTCTGCTGGCAGCATGCAAAGCCAGGGATAAGCAGCCTGTGATGCATGCCCAGAGGGTGAAAGAGGAGAGGTGGGAAGACAAGAACACAGATGAACATACGTGCACACACACCCCTTATTAGACAAGTGTCAGTCAATTATGGCTCGCTCCCCGATCCATGCATCTCCAGGGAAAACCAGAGTTCTACCAGAAGGCAGGAATGCACTCAGGCCCCAGGCCTCCTCCTCTTCCTCCCCTGAAAGCTGGGTTCTGGGGCATCTGTACAGCACAGGTCTGCACCCCCAGACAGATGCCCATCGGAGCTAACAGGAAAGGGAATTGGCAAAGAATGAGTTTCTGCCCACCTTACAACTCTATGTTTGCTGGGCCTTGAAGTAACAAATCAATCCACAATGAGCCTAACAATAAGAAACTCCAAGGAGCCTGACACAGCCCACCAAAGACTGGAGGAAGGCAGCTTCTCAGCCAGCATCACTAACTTTTCGTTTATGCTGTTTGGAATGCAAACTCACTGCTGAATTTGGGACCACTTAGGCACAGGAGGAGAGAAAACTGAAGACCATTTGGGAACAAAAGAATACCACAAAAGGAAAAGGTGGGATATGGAGCAATGGAAAGACAGAAAAGAAAAACAAAATTCATCATCTAAAATGTTGTAAGTACTTCATAACTATTACTAAAAAATAGGAGTCAGCAAAAACCTGTAGTTATACAAAAAAATTTCTGAACATCTACACTTCCTCAAAAGCCTGACGTGAATTTGATGCTTTTCTTTTTTTGAGACGGAGTTTTGCTCTTGTTGCCCAGGCTGGAGTGCAATGGTAGATCTTTGCTTACTGCAACCACCACCTTACAGGTTCAAGCAATTCTCCTGCCTCAGCCTCCTAAGGAGCGGGGATTAAAGGCACACACCACACGCCTGGCTAATTTTGTATTTTAGTGGAGATGGAATTTCATAATGTTGGTCAGGCTGGTCTTAAACTCCTGACCTCAGGTGCTCTGCCTACCTCAGCCTCCCAAAGTGCTGGGATTATAGGCATAAGCCACTGCACCTGGCTGATGGCTTCTGACTTCTTTCAGAAGACCCTAAAAGTCACTAAGTGCAGTCTTTCCTTAAAGTCTTCCATGCTAAAAACAATTCTCTGGAAAGATCACCTCTGTTCAGTCCTGCTCTCTTTGAAGGGGGAAAAAAAAAAAAAAGGGAAAAAAGGAGCAATGATGCTGTTTGACCTGGAAATTACTAGTGTTATTCTGGCATCTCAGTAAATCACTGACCCAAAATAAATAGCTCTGAAAACCCAACTGGCTCCCCTATAAGATCAAAAGAGAAGCACTACTTCTTGTTAAAAGCAAGAAGGCCTGGCTGACCTGTGACCAAGAGGGGAGCACATGGCTGCAGCCTGACTCACCCTTGATGGTCTCTCCTCACTCAGCTGCTTTGAATCCCCTCAAGCCCACCTGCCTGCCTGTGCACCCAGGACCCAGGCTTCACCCTAGTGAGTGCAGAGAGGGGGAAGTGATAGAGTTAGTGTGGATAAGTTATTGGAGATGTGCAGACATCACAGGCAGGTTGTTGCAAATGCTCACCACGTTTGATCAACACGGTCAGTGTCCCTGCAAGGAGGGGAGAAAGAGCTCAGAAGAGAAGCCAACCAATGATATCTAGGCTTGGGGTGCAGGGTGGGGAGATATGTGTCCTAGAAGCATCATTACTAGGCAAAGAGGTTGTTCCATTTTCAATCCTGGGTCACTCGTGTGAGTGAGCTATGGCACGATTCAGATAAACTTCCTATTTCTAAGAACACTGAACATCCGCCAGGCAGTCAACACTCTGGCTGGAGCAAAGCATCCCTAGTAACTCACTTCCCCAACCCAGAAGGAAAAAGAAGTCAGGAACCTTAATAATTGGAACACTGGCCTCAACTGTCCCTACTACTCCCCAAACTACAGCTGCTCACCAATGGCACAAGTGAATACAAATGTGGAGTCAGGGAGCAGGAAAGGAATAGGAAAATAAAGTTCCCTCCCCATCACAGGAAAACTGGTTTTGCTCACAGTAGCCATGTTGAATGGGAAGCAATGTTATACTGGGAATAAGAAATGGTGGTTTCAGTGGTGGCTGTTGTTCCACCACTCTGGGAAACCAAACAAAATGCTACTATTTGCACATTTCAAAATTTAATAGCGATAACTGTTTGAACAAAGATGCCAAATGCAGTTTTGCAAACACGAATTTCAGAAGCACAGAAGATGCGACCATGGATCTGCCTCAGACAGAACACTGCCAGCCAGATGCCCACAACCCTCTACTCTGCAGGCTCTGTGGGCCAACTCTCAGCCTCCACACTCAGCTCACCCTAGCACACCCCTCAATGGTACCTGCAGTGGTGCTTCCTGCTGGCAAGCCAGAAGGCACTGTCACACGCATAGCAGTGGGCAGCCAGGTGGTCAGGGAGCCAACGGGTCATCTGCCAAACAAGATGGGGCCAGGTTACTGACAGGAGATGGGCCATCCAGCTGGAGCCAGCAGAGCCATGCTGGGGACAGCAAGAGTCACAAGGACCACATTGGCTCCAGTGGCACCAGCCCAGCGGATCTGATGTCAACAGTACAAGAAAGGCGTCCAAATCGTTTCCCTGGAGGGGACTACAATTTCCCCTGAGATAAAGCAGTAGGCAGCAGCACCCTGGGTCACTGTGAGAGCTGGCAAGGCTCTAGTTCATTGAGGCAATGAAGAGGGAGGGCCAGCTTGCCAAGTCTCCCTGGCTTAGAAATCCTAGGCTTGATGTGGGTTCCCAGGAGCTGAGGTACCAGAGGCTCAAGGCTAGCTGTGCTGTGAGGTGCTTCCTTGGCCAGGGACATGGGATGGGAATGGGGGTGGAGAAGAACCACGAAACAGTTAAATGGATGGTACTCAGAGCAGGGGCTGAGCCTGTACCTCCGTGTCCTGTTTATCCACCTGCTCCCAGCTGGCTTCAGAGAAAATCTCTGTGCTGCAGCGAGACAAACAGCTCTGATCCAGATTGTTTTCCAAGTCGGGGACTGAAGTCTGTTGGCAAACAAACACAGCTGAACAGAATAAACCTGGTCTCCTCCCAATAGAAGAAAAGGCCTGGTGAAGGGAGCACTGAGGACTCTGGATGGGGCCGAGTGCTAGGACGGCTGAGTCTGCAGATGCATTAGCCATCAAGAACTGAGGTGAACAGGTGCAGGGATGGGCCTGGGCTCAGCTGGGAGAGGGATACACTGGTTGTGTACAGTGACTCTGCAGTAGAAAGACAGGCCTCAGGGTTCCAGAAAGTGAGTGAGAGAGAAGTGACCGAAATGGAATGGGAATTCTGTATGTCAGCTGTTCTACTGGGCCTGTCAATCCAACCCTGCCCACCACTTAGTTAAAGCTGAGTGCTTTCAGCATGCCCTCCTTTTCTTGGAAGGATTCTCTGAGAACATGAGAAACTATCATTAGCATGAAGGAAAAGCCAAGAAGTCACTTTGAATTGAAAGGTCATTGGATGTGCCCGCCTTTAATGTACGCTGACCACTTGAGAGCCAGGCTCACATTTGTACTTGAATGGCCTGAGTCAAGTCCACCCAGAAAAGAAAGCACCTCCTTGAGAACCCCCACTCTGGTACCCCTGTTTACAGCCCCCAACCCCATCAGACCTAACTCCTCAACAGTGCTAGAAACCAGTCCTTCTCTCCATTTCTACTGCCAGCATCTGCCACGGGGTGGGTATAAATATTTGTTTAAAAAGAACTACATTTGGCTGGGCACAGTGGCTCATGCCTGTAATCCCAGCACTCTGGGAGGCCGAGGTGGGTAGATCACCTGAGGTCAGGAGTTTGCGACTAGCCTGGCCAACATGGTGAAACTCTGTCTCTACTTAAAATACAAAAATTAGCTGGGCATGGTGGCTCATGCCTGTAATCCCAGCTACTCAGGAAGCTGAGGCAGGAGAATCACTTGAGCCTAAGAGGTGGAGGTTACAGTGAACTGAGATCACGCCACTACACTCTAGCCTGGGTGGTGACAAGAGTGAAACTCCATCTGGAAAAAAAAAAAAAAAAAAAAGAACTAAACCTTCAGAACTATAGCCCACGTCTGGAAGGGCTAATACTTTGTAGTTACTAAGGTAAAACAAGCACTAAAATCTGACAGGAATAACTTGGCATTGCCCTACAGATGTCACTCTGCCCATGGGTTCAAGCCCTTCTGAAGACTTGTGATCCCGTCTGAGAGATCTGATCAACCATGGAGTGCAGGCTGAGTCTCTTCCTCTCTAATGGCCTCAACAGGACATCTGCGGAAAGTAAGCAAAGCAGAAAACAGGCAGGCTGCCACCACTGTGGAGGAGGTTCATCTCCAGCCTCGTCACAGGGCTACTCTGGACCTTTCCAATCCTTTAACAACCTGTACCAATCACCATGCCCCCTGGGCACCAAGGGCACTCAGCCTCAGTGTGCCCTGTCTCCTTGGGCAGCTAGGAATACCACAGCCTACTCACCACCTCATCCCCAAAGTCTCCATTGAAGCGTAGCGAGCTAGTCAGATACTGGCTCTCCAGGCGACTCTTCAGCTCCTGGACTTGTTTCTTCAAAGTTTCTACTTCCTGCTGGTGGCCTGACTCAATCTGGCGCAGGCGCTGCTGGATCGTGTCTGTGTACACTGGCATGCCATCATCGTCCAGGTGGCTGCGGGAAGGCTGATCGGGGCTGCTGGTTACAGATGGCCTCCCTGAGTGGCTATGCAGCCACTTGTGGTGCAAGTTCCTCGAGTGTAAGTGGGCAGAGCTGCAGCTCATAGCAGACAGCTGACAGCTCAGTGAGTCCTTGCTCCTACCAGCCTCCCCATTGGCGCAGTGCCCATTGGGTGTGGGGTACTTCTGGAGGGTGCTAAGACCTGAGGGCTGCTCTGAGGCCCTGTTTTCAGTCTCTGGGGCACCGTTGCACACAAGCCCCTCTTTACATTCGGCTAAAGGCAAGGCACAAGGGGAACGTGTCAGGCTGAGAGTGCTGCCAGGGGAAGTCCTGTGCACCACAGACCCTACTTGGGGCCTCTCAACCATGCTTGTCTCTGAAGGGCTGGGTTCCATGGTTTGGGGAAGCATGTCCTTGCCACTATTCACAAGGCAAGGTCTATCATGGCCTTGGGACCCACTTTCTGACTTCACCTTATCTTCCAACATGTCTGTGGAACCATCCACGTTTGGTCCTCTGGTCTCAAAATGGACTTGGGAAGACAGCAGAGAATACAACTGTGAGGTACCATAGCCAACCTTTGCATCTACTGGGATTGGAAGAACTGCTTCCTCCCTACCCTCTGTATTCTCCTCTGTTCGAAACTGCTCCACAGGGTCCTCCAGAAAATCCTCTCCCCTGGCGGGGACCTGGAGAGAACTGAGGAGAACACTGTGCCCACCCTGCTGTTCAGAAATACCCTGTGAAAACAGAGGCAGGCTCATGCCCGGATGGCTCTTCACAGCAGCATCACCCAGTTCTGGGTCTTGGTGAAGTCCAGTGGCTGAGGCCTCAAGTGTCTTCCTCCTGCTCTCCTTTTCTAAGAGGGAGTCCTCTTTACCCTCCTGCATCTCAGTGCCTGCCCTGTGAGCAGGCTCCTCTACTCCACTCTCCTCTTTGGTGGCCTCCTGCAAGATGTTCTCCATTTGCCCCTCAGCTACTCCAGCTGCAACAGAAAGTTCAGCACCCCCCGGCACTCTGGTGGGCTTCCCCAGGCTGTCAGCAGAAGGGGGATCCTCTCCAGGGCCAGCCAGGCTGCTCAGCTCTAGCGAGCGCCGGTGCTCCTGCCACTTCTCATTCAGGCTGGGGTCGCTGCAGCGCCGGCTGGCCAGAGGCACTGTGTTGTCACAGGCTGTGGTCAGATTGTCAAATGATCTAGTCTTTGGTAGCCTAAAGGAAAGGAATTTGGGAGAAATGAGAATCTTGGAAGGTATTTTCAGGGAAGTAGGAGACCATAGGGTTTAACAAGCAGTTGTTTCATAATTGGGTCCATTACCGCTACTCATGGAGCTGCAGCATCTCTGGAGCAAAGCCTAGACTGCTGGAGCAGCAAAGCTCCTGAGCAAGTCCTTTTCCTAGTGTGCAGATCTCCTCTCACACTGCCTCCACCCTAGGCCCCATACATACAAATGAGCTAACAGCAAATGCTATTTTCTTTCTTTTTTTGAGACAGTCTCACTCTGTTGCCCAGGCTGAAGTGCAGTGGCGCAATCTGAGCTCACTGCAACATCTGCCCCCCAGGTTCAGGCAATTCTGCCTCAGCCTCCCGAGTAGCTGGGACTACAGGTGTGTGCCACTATGCCTGGCTAATTTTTTTGTATTTTTAGTAGAGATGGGGGGTTTCACCATTTTGTCCAGGCTGGTCTTGAACTCCTAACCTCAGGTGATCTGCCCATCTCGGCTTCCCAAAGTGATGGGATTACAGGTGTGAGCCACTGCGGCCGGCCTGCAAATGCTGTTTTCAAAAGACGTTCTTCATGATGCTGCTGTGTTTCTCAGCGGATGGCAAAGTAGCACTGGTGTTTCTTAATATTACAGTATTTTAAATTAATGTGTTATCTATCATTCTGAATTTAATAAAGCTAATTCTCAAGTGACAAAGCCAATTTTTTTTTTTTTTTTTTTTTNTTTGAGACAAGGTCTTGCTCAGTTATCCAGGCTGGAATGCAATGGATCTTGGGTCATTGCAACAACCTCCACCTCCCAGGCTCAAGCAATCCACTTGCCTCAGCCTCCTAAGTAGCTGGGACTACAGGAATGTGCTACCACACTTGGCTAGGTTTTGCATTTTAGGTAGAAACAGGGTCTCACCATGTTGCCTAGGCCGGTCTGGAACTCCTGGGCCCAAGTAATCCTCCTGCCTCAGCTCCCAAAATGCTAAGATTACAGGCATCAGCCACTAAGCCTGGCCCAAAGCTAAACTTTCTATTACCTGACAGCATCTGCCTTTTAAGCCTCGGAAGACAAATCATGGTAAATAGGCAGGAGCACAGAGCGGTGGGGAAAACACAAACTAGGGGGTCACAGAAAACCCAAAGGATTTGCTCTATCACTGAGGAGCTGCTCAGTGCATACAAAAGAACCATGAAGCAACAGGGCCCAATTCACTCCCAGAAACAAGGCTCATACAGCCTTGTAACCCAGAAACACTTATACCTTCCCTGAAAAAATTGCAGACATCTAAGAAAGATGCTGTGGACCCAGATAACAACATGATCTCTGACCATCCCTGGACATGCCCCAACACAGGAATATACCCACACACAGGCTATCAGGCCTGTGGCATCACCCCTGGGCTCACCGGCTCAGGGGGGTATCATCAGGGCTGGTGCCTGGTGCTGGGTATGGCGCACAGCTGTCATCCACAGGGGTGGTTGGGGATGGGCAGGGCAGGTACACTGCACTCCACAGCATCAGGTTACGCACATGGCACACAGGGTACAGCACCTGAGGAGGGGGGAGGACACAAGTTTAAATATGTCCCAGTGAGTCTTCTAGGATATCTGGAAATGAGGATCAAGAGCGAGTACCCAGCTGGAATACCCAACAGGGCTGACGGGATCTCCACGAAGAGGCAGCACCAGTGGATGCAGGTCTATCCCAAGAGGACCAGTACAGGACTAGACATTTTATATGGCCAACATTTTCCTCTTGAGAGCATGAAAATCTAGAAGATTGTTTTAGATCCCTTTCTCATTAATAGTTATTTCTTAGGTCACCTTCAATGACTGACTTTCATTGGCTTGATTTGTTGCTTTTACTGCCTAAGAAAGTGAGTCATTCTGTTACTCACTTTCATGGTGATTGTCCATCCAGCTGGCACAGAAGCTTGGCTTCAGGAGACACTGTCACACCCATTTTATAGGCTCATTTAAATTAATCATGTGAAAAGAAGGGAATTTTTCTACTTCCCCAGAAGGCACATTGCATGGGAGAGACAAGCAGCTTAAATCTTTTCTTTGACTACTTAAATGTAATGAGAACCATATTAATAGTCCAGGAAATCCATATAAACTCTGATTAGCCTCCTTTTCATTTCTTTACGGTTTAGGATGCATTCTGACAAAGATAACATTACTATGAAACTCACACACAGGTCTATATGCCTCCTTTTCTTTGCTTAACAGAAGGCATTCATTCCTTTAGGGAACAAAGTCTTAAAAGCCCTGCCCTGCCAGCTCTTCGTGTGAGCAGAGAATCACAGACAGACAGACACACATACCAATGTCAAACACAGTTTTCTGTGTTCCTTCTCTGAGATGGAAGTTATGGGGGATATCATTGCTTACTGACACTGGGAGGGTGCTGGGGGCCTGGTGGCAGCTCTTTCTGAGCTATCAGTACATCAGGAAGCAACTTAAGTGCCTCTCCCATAAGACAAAACATGCTAGAAATAAGCTCTGGAGGCAGAGCCAAAAAAGATTCATGTCTAGGGTGGCAAAGTAGAGATCTGTGTTAAACCAAACCACCCTCAGCAAGTAGTCATCAGAAACACATCAGATCATCAGAAGCAGGCCTTCCTCAGGACAGAATCGCAGGGGAAAAATGGAACCAATCCATCCAGAGACAGTAGAGATGCCTTCACAAAAACAGTCACTACTCAAAAAGGCTCTCATGTCACCAACCCCAAAACCCTTCTGCTGACCACAGTGGAAAGGCTGAAGGATACATACGGCTTCTGATTGAGAAGAATACAGTAGATTTTTGAAAGGCTTGTTGCCTGCCCGAAGAAGCGACCACACAGAACATGTCCGTTCCTGAGTATGCTTTTCCCCTCTCTCCTTGGCGTTGTTGCACAGGAATGTTCCAAAGAGGCAGGAATAGGTGTGCTGCACCAGTTTCACCTATGGGAGTCCAATGAAGCACAAATTAAGCAATCAGGCATGCATTCTCTGAGAGGTCAGCTCAGCTGAGCCACCTTATCCTGACATCCCTGAGAATACTTTACTCTGTCAGGACAGGGGAACCCAGTAAGCCATGCAGTAGCCTCGTCTTCCTCACACCGATTCCAGGACCCAACCCCAACCGAGTCAAAGACAAGATTATTGGTACTCTCATTCCTCTTAGCTTCCCTGATAAACAGTCTGAGATTCTGAATTAACAGCCGCCCTCACAAGCGCCAGAGCATATGAACTGGGTACAGGAGCATGTCAGTGTACACCTCAAGCCTGAGCTGAGAGGATACTTATAACACTACTTGTTCATTTGACAAATTATTCAGCATTTCACATGCCCCAGACATGACTAAGATGCTGGACATGCAGCAATGACCAGCAAACTCTTCTGCCCTCACAGAGCTTGCTCTAGTCATAGGTGAAGAGTGACCAGTGCTATGGAGAACAAGGCAGACTGAGATGGACAGGACATGTATGGGGCAGTGCAGGATGGCCTCACTGGCTGGGACCCAATGAACATGAAAGAGCAGGCATGTGGGTATCTAAGGGGAAGCACTCCAGGCAGGGGCAACCACATGTGCAATGGCCTTGAGGTAAGCACATGCTTGCAATTTCTGAGGTGCAGCAAGTGTAACTAAAGGAGATTGCACAAGAGGGAGAATGGTAGGAAATGAACCTAGAGAGGTAACCTCTAGGAAGGCCCTGGAGGCCACTTTAAGGACTTTGGCTTTTACTTTGTGTAAAATGTAACTAAAGGTTTTTAAGCAAAGGAATGACACAGTCTGTCTTATGTTTTAGAAGAGACTCTATGCTGGGATGACTCAATTGGGGTAGGAGATGATGGTGGCCTGAACCAGTGTGGTACCAGTAAAGGTGGCAATAAATAATCAGGTTTTAGACATATTTTGAAAGCAGAGCTGTAGAATCTGACTGTGAAAGATAAAAGAAAGAGACTTGGGGATGACAAAGAATTTTGCCCTAAACAAAAAGAGGGATGGAAATGCCATATGGTGAGAGAGGAGACTTCTGGAAGATCAAGTTTGGAAGATCAAATTTCTGTGAGGAAACACAGAAATTAAGAATAAAGTTTTGGACAAGTACGGCGACTCATGCCTGTAATACCAGCACTCTGCAAGGCTGCGGTAGGAGGATATTGTTTGACCCCAGGTGTTTTAGATGTGCCTGGGCAACAAAGCAAGACCCCATCTCTACAAAAATAAAAATAAAAATATCAGCCAGGCACAGTGGTGCATACCTGCAGTCCTAACTAATCAGGAGGCTAAGGTGAGAAGATCACTTGACTCTGGGAGTTCAAGGCTGCAGTAAGCTGTGTTTATGCCACTATACTCCAGTCTGGGTGACAGTGAGATGCTGTCTCAAAAAAGAAGAATTAAGTTTTGCATTTATTAAGTCTGAAATAACATTAAGACAGCCAAGTGGAGATACTCAGTAGTCATATTAGATATGTGAGGCTGAAGTGGAGAGGTCTAAGCTGAAGATGTATAAATGTGGGACTCATCAGCATATAGATGGCAATTAAAGCCACTAGAATGAATGAAATACTTAGAAGTATAGATGGAGAAGCAGCCTGGAGGCTGGGCAATGGGGCATTCCAACATTTAGAACTGGGGGGTAGCTTACAGCTATAATCCTTTGGGTGACCAAGGTGGGAGGTTTGAAACCAGCCTAGGCAACACAGTGAGACTCCATGTCTATTTACAAAAAAAAATTTTTTTTAATTAGCCAGGCATATTGGCATGTGCCTGTGGTCTCAGCTACTGGGGAGGCTGAAGTGGGAGAATCCCTTGAGTCCACGAGGTTGAGGCTGCAGTGAATTGTGATCATACCACTGTACTCCAGCCTGGGAGACACAGTGAGACATTATCTAAAAAAAAAAAAAAAAAACTCCAGCCTGGGTAACGAGCGATTATCTAAAAAAAAAAAAAAAAAGAACTGGTGGGATTTAAAGGAATCAGCAAAGGAGGCAGAAACAACCAGCCAGTGAGCTAAGAGGAGAACTAAGAGCAAGGAAGTGCTACAAGTCAAGTGAAGACAGCATTTCAAGGAAGAACTGGTTAAACTATGTCAAATGGTAATGATGGATCAAAGAGATGAAGACTGAGAACTCATCACTGGATTAGTGACATGAAGGTCACTGGTCATTTTGACAAGAACAGCTTTGGTAAAGCGGTGGGGTGAATGCCTGATTGAAGTGGGTTTAAGAGAATGGAAAGAGGAATTTGACAAAGCAAGGACAGAAAACTTGAGGAGCTCTGCTGTAAAGGGGAACAAGAGAAATGGGATGATGGCTAGAGGTAAATGCAGGGCCAACAATGGGTTTTGAAAAGATGGGAGACACAATGCCACATTTTCATGCTGAAGGTCATGCTCTGGTAGAGAGGGAAACGAACGCACTGATGCAGAAGACAGAGAGGAGAAATGCTGGAGCCAGCCAGCAGCGCAGCAGATGAGAGGGAATGAGAGCTGCTGTGCAGGTGGACAGAGGAGCTGGAAGAGGACAAGGATAGTGCACCCTCCGTCAAAGGAGAGGGTGCAGACAGCACAACACAGACATAGGGGGTCTTGCAGAAGAACTGGAGGAAGCATGGTCCAGACATTCTGATTGCTTCTATTTCTAACTGCTATTTAGGGTTTCTAGCATCCCTTTAAAAAAAAACTAAGTTTAAAACAACTCAAGGACTTCATGCAAACCTGGCATACCTGGATTTTCTCTTTTTGAAAAGTAAATAGTAAAACTATTTACTTAAAAAAATAGAAACAGGGAAAAAAATCACCTCTATTAAATTCTAAAGAGGCTGTACAGTTTCATGTGAGAACTGGCCCACTAACATTTGTACTGACCCTCCTTCAAATTGAGAAGGTCCCCAAAATGAAGAAACTCACAAGGAATGCTTCATTGAACTCAAAAGAGCAAGGAAATTGCCTCTGAAGCTGATGAACACAGTCAAGCCACTGCAGAAACACTGGGCAACGTTCATTCAGATCATCCGAGTTCTCCCCATGACCACACCGGTCAGCAAATTTATGGCCAAAATCCAGCCACTCCATTTCCACGAGGACCTGGAAACCCTGCAGGGAAGCACCCAGGAGAGACCAATTGTGCTAGACTATCCAGACTGTGACAGTCCCGAGCCTGGTGTCACAGAAAGCAATCCCTTCTAATAGCCTCCCAGAAAGCCCACCTCGCCTTGCCTTTGCTCTATCCCTAATGAGGCACACACTTAGGGAAATTTCCCAATTCCCTGAACTCTATTCCATGATGACTGAAATGGTACTAACTGTGTTTATCTAAGCCTTTCTTGAATCTGTTTGTATTTTTAGCCTCTTGAATTCACTATATAAAACCACACTTTTCCCCTCAATTTCTCTTTCAACATTTCTGCCTCTGGTGTTATACTAACAAAGTCAAATTTGTAAAATCCTTCCACACCCCAGGTTTAGTAAGTATTTGCATATATTTTAGGATACTTTGATTTTTCTTTCGTCTTTAACCCAACAGATAGTTATTTCAGAGTAGAGCTGCTTCTCCACAGGACACTCTGTGGTAATAGCTAGCATGCCAATATCCTTTTACAGACACCTCATTTTCATGAGGTAGCTAGAAAGTTTTCTAAGTAGATAGACTGCAGAGGAAAATATGGCTGTATTCTCAATACCTTGTTACCCAACATCTGCCCCATTTTAAGAGATGCAAGAACTGTAAGAGAAACCACAATTTAGCTCATAATATAAAGGAAAAAATAATCAAAACAGAAATCTCACTTTCTTTAACCTAATCACCACCCCCAAAACTGGTAATATCACTCCTGAGGGGTGTGATATTACCCTCCCACCCCACCCCGCTCATCCTCAAGTACCAGCTCCTACCATCTGGATGCACTCACCTCGATGGTTCGGTAATAAGGGTCCAGCAAGAGCTTAGCCAGTGCCACAATCTGGGGAGTGCGGTCCCAGCCATCTGAGCAGTGCACTAGCACTGGCCGCTGATCCTGATCCAAAGCATGCACTACCAGAAGTGCTGATTTCAGAAGCACAGACAAGTGATGGAGCCATTTTGTGCTTTCAAGAGCTGACAGCCAACTATAAAAACAGGAGGGGATTAGAAAATGCTGATTTTTACGATTTACTGCATCATGCTCAAGCTTGTCAAATTACAAAGTAATTCCCAAAGATTTCTCTCTCCAAACATAACACTGCCAAAATAAAAAAGCCTGTGTGTTTATAAAGCATGTATCAGGATGAGACCCAAGCCCTACTATACAATAGAGAAGAGGCTTAGAAACAGGGGCTGCAATTAATAGGACCACCTTTTGTTCCAAAATCTGTATGGGTTATTTCCCAGACAAAATATTTGACATTTTTCAGTTCGGAAAAGTGGCTCTTTCTGAAACCTTCTCCTTGAAGGAAATGTAGCCACTTCTGAGATGTAAAACAGAAGATATTTAATAATCAGTAACTATGTTCAACAAGTTCTCCAAAAAAAAAAAAAAAAAGAAAAACTCATGAATACAAATAGACCTGAGATATAAGCTGGATGCCATATACAAGAATGGTATACACAACATTGCCTATGACCCAGACTGTAACACCTATCTCTGTAAATGTTTACTGACTAAAACCAGATGGGCCCAATCTGATGATATATACTCACACAAATTACTACACCCAATGGCCACATAATGTTCCTGGGCTCAACACAGACTGGATTCAGCAGGGCTATAAGAAGATCCTTTTTTTGAAAGATGTTTAGGGGCCAGGTGGCAGTGGCTCATGCCTGTAATCCCAGCACTTTGGGAGGCTGAGGTAGGCGGATCACTTGAGGTCAGGAGTTCAAGACCAGCCTGGCCAACATGCTGAAACCCCATCTCTACTAAAACAAAAAATTAGGCCAGGTGTGGTGGCTCATGCCTGTAATCCCAGCACTCTGGGAGGCCAAGGCTGGTCAGGAGTTCAAGACCAGCCTGGCCAACATGGTGAAAGCCCATCTCTACAAAAATACAAAAATTAACCAGGCATGATGGCAGGTGCCAGTAATCCCAGCTACTTGGGAGGCTGGGGCAGGAGAATTGCTTGAACACCGGAGGCGGAGGTTGTAGTGAGCCAAGATCATACACTGCTGCACTCTATCCTGGGCGACAGAGCAAGACTCCATCTCAGGAANCAAAAAAAAATTAGCTGGGTATGGTGGCATGTGCCTGTTATACCAGCTACTCGGAAATCTGAGGCAGGAGAATCACTTGAACCTGGGTGGAGGTTGCAGTGAGCTGAGATTGCGGCACTGCACTCCAGCCTGGACAATAGAGCGAGACTCTGTCTAAAAATAAAAAAGTTTTAAAAAAAGACCTTTAGGAATATTAGCCCTTGCTATCTGCCCCTGGGGAGCAATCACAAGCTAATCACACATTTTTTTTTTTTTTTAAACTGTGTTGAAATTTTGTTTCCTGTGATTTCCCTCACCCCTCCTTCTCCCTTAAAAAAAAAAGAGTTCCAATTTTTCCCAAATGTGATCAGATTTGTAGTTAAAATCACAAGTCAAGCCTTTCAAACAATGAGTCAGAGGAAGGAATAAAGACTTCTGTCAGGGGACTCTGGGAAGGTTATAAAGGCCGACTAAACCTTGCAGAATAAGTATGAATTCTTAGATAGTCTAAGGAGATGGGGGTCTTTCCAGGCAAACAGAAAACAATGCAGTGCATAAGTATTGGTTTTATATGCATTTGTTTGGATTACCAACCAGATTGTGACTCCTCAGAAGGCTAACACTATGTCTTAGTCATAACTGTACCCCCAGCACAGAGCCTAACATACAGTAGGGAGTCCCACCGTTTAATGAACTGTAAGTCTGTTATGGCTAAAAATCCAATCTTAAGACTTTCTATTTCCTAGCAGGTACCTGAGAAACATTTTTTTCCTGATGGATCAACTGTTAATTTTCATTCTTCACATATTCTTGAAAGGAACTAAAAGATAAGGCTTAGGAGAACAAATACTAAATTATCTCCTAGCCCCTGAATAAATGGTAAACAAGAGAACCAGTGTGAGGTTCTCTTGAACCTAACTATTATTTAATACCACCAGATGTTGTCTGTGACTAAAAAAGATGTGCTCCAAAAATCTGCCAGCCAGGGAGGGGCTGCTGAGAGACTCCCCATTCCCTTGTCCTATTCTCAACCTGCACCAGAAGCCTACTATCCCCTCATCTTCCACAACCCCAAACACAGGCCAGGGGGCCTACTTTCAGCTGTCCCATCACTGCTATAGCTGCTTTTTATCCATGAGGGAGACTTCAGTGCAGCATTATGATTTGCTGCCAAATACATAAAAGCATTACCTTCAATAAAATCTCTAAGACCTTTAAGTGGACCAGGTGAGGGCTAATTATATCTTTTTGACTCTGACAGCTCTTTAAGAATTTTAATATATGGAAGGTATTGGAGATCATGTCGTGTTGATTACATCTTTCATTTTATAGACAGGAAAACTGAGATATACAGTAATTAAGCCCCTTGGCCAAGGTCACACAGTTTGTGGCAGATCCACTGGGTCTTTAGCAAGACTCCTACACACCACCCTAGGGAAGAAAGTGCTAGGACCTGGAACTGTATAGCAAATGCAAATGGCTAATCCCCAAAGGAGGCAGCAAGCTCAATTCTTCGGTCAGGCTTTCCCCAAAGGACACTGCTTCATACTCTGGACTGATTACAACTATGATGAATTTAATCATTTGCTACTGGCAGTCAGTATAAGTGGTTTAGGCAGCATCTGATTTAATAAATCAAATAAAGAATGCAGTAAAACTTGATGTGATCATGAGATCCACTGAATAAAACCCAGGGAAACAACTATGGGCTCCAGCACAAATACTAGAAAAAAGAAAATGCTGTCTTCTCTGGCACCGTATCTCTGGCTTCCTGAAATAGTAAAACAGGACTTTTAAATATTTATCTGTCCATTTTTGTTTTACAGAGCATTCTTCCTAATTTATCTTACAGTCAATCAGTATCACTGGAGAAGGTATTATTTCACCTTCCTCACTGCAAATGCCAGCCATTCATATTTAATAAGCAATAAAAATCATGATTAATGTTCTTAATAAATAAGAATAGTTTAGAAACTGAAAGCAGATGTAAAAGGAATTGACCTAATGGCAACTTTAACCCCTTCAGAACTTGATGAATAAATTCTGATCTTTTATGATAAAACAACCCATTTCACAACAGGTAACTATCAATGTGGGACATCAGAAACTGAAGAATTAAATTACTTTGGGCTAAAGATGATATGGAAGGGAAAGGTCCCAGGACAAACAGTAAGGCGGTGCTTCTGTTTTGATGACTGAGATTTCTTCTGTGCTGCAGATTTTAAAACTTTTCGAAGGGCTGTATATTCTCCCCAAATCTTCCTCCGTGCTGCCATACCTCTGACCCAGGAAGGAGACACTGGGTCAGAGACTGGGCTGGTAACTGAAGTTTACCAAGAAACAGAAAGAAAGCCTGCTCCAAGCTAATTTTTTTTTTCCCCATTAGTTCAAGGAAAGAAGAAAACTGATTTTTTAAGAGCGATGCAAAATGAAAGCCAAGGCTAAGGACTTACTTTCCTGGATCTGGCATCTGAGTGCACAGCAACCGCAGAGACTGAAAACTCCTCCGAATAGAATGAATGTTTGCCATCCCCATAAACACAACTTCACAGTTCGGGTAATATTCTGGAGAGTAACAATAAAAAGAATACAAATATGTTGAATTTAAAGCCCACATGGCCAAATTTAAAAGAAACAAACTAGCTATAAAATAAACCCACTGCAGCTTCTGATTAATGAAACTGAAATGTTTTGAGATGCCTATTAGCCCGATCCTTTATAATAAGAGGAACACAGTGATTGAATTTTAACTATCTTTTTGAAAAGGGTAAAAAGGGAAGGTTAGATTTGTAAAGAAGCTACTGACATAAAATAAAAACTTATTTTTTTAAAAGAAAGGCCTACTTTGATCTCACTCTGGCTTTACTTCTTGGGCCTTATCTAACTTGTGGCTTTGGAATCTCTTTGAAAAGAACCTGGCAGAACAATGCTTTCACGCATTCAAATTTCACCTTGGTACAGCTGCTTTCAATTACCAGCTTAGACCACAAACAGCCTGGTGCCTCTTTCTGTGCCATAAGCACACTGCTGGCACTGGGTGGGAGGGGAGGGGTCCTTCCTTGGGGAAAGCTAGCATTCCAACAGTAACGGTGTTACAGTTTAGGACAGAGGCACCTTACCAGGGTTCTATGTTTACTGTTCCAATTTTCACCCCAGGTTTTCTAAGGAGGGGCCACGGAGGAGTTTGCTACAAGGCCAGTGAGGAGCATACCCTCTGTCAAAGGCAACAAAAAGCTTTTAGACAGCTGAGAAATTGAGCCCACTAAAGAGCAGCTTCCAAACATGAACAGGCCTTATTATGAGGAAGATCTGCTTTCCTTACCACCTAAAAATTGGCACAAAGAAGGAAGATTATGTGACTTCACTGCACCTCCTCCTCCATTTCTCCTCAGAAAAGAACATACGGTGTCAAGAATCCAAAGAGCAGCTTGGTACTCTCACGACAGGACAGATGAAGAATATGGCTTGCTACTCGTTTCAAATTGAGAACTAAGTCTCAGTTGGGCATGGGCTGCCCTCACAAGGAGAAAGTATGGGCAACAAAGCACCATATACCTCACCTGGGCATTCGCAGCCTCCTCCTTTGGCTCGGTTCGCCACAGCAGCTGCATAGGAGCGTGCATCCAAGATCAAAAGCTTCTGCGGTTGGATGGCTAAACTCTCTGTTCCTGAAGCATTTGACAGAGAAGAATCTAGGGACATGGAGGGAGGGGGCACACTAAATGAAATGTGAAGAATTAGACCCACAAGTACATCTTATGACACAAAAAAGGCTCAGTAAAATGAAATCTTCTAACCAAAACCCTTGACACATAGGTCTTTCCTCTTCAGTTTATTTTCTATCTTGGCTTCTTATGAAAGACGAGGAGGATTTATTGTCCAAAACCGAGTCCCAGAGTACACATGAGGTTTACATAGCCCAGTCTCTTATACTTCATTTCTACATCTGTCATCCTTTCGTGAAGCCTGGCACTTCCCCCCATGGTCTGCAGATACTTCAAGTCCCCAATTACATCAACACTCCATTTTTGTCACAATGGCAAGAAAGACAACAAACACTAACATCTTGATTGAGGTTTGAAACAAAGGGTCTTCTGATCAGGCAATCCCATCAAGTGAAGCTCTGCACTTTCACTTCTATAAAACTAAATCTGTGTCTTCTAAGGAAAAGGCCATTTCAAGAAAAGGTTCTTAGATGCTATAAAAATTACTGCCATGGGTCCAGGGAGCACCTTACCAAACTCCACATCAGAAAGGTCTCCCCCATTGGGAAAGTCTCGAGAAGTATTCCTAGTTGACTGCTTGCTGCCACTCGATCGGGAGTCAGAGGCACAAGCTTTGGCTACTGATTGTACCAGGTGCTCATCATCTGCATTTCGCCAGCCCCACCAGCTAACCTCCGGCTGTCCACAGCGGGCAATGACAGCTCCATTGCTCTGGTGCCTGTGTGGGGAACAAGAGACAACTGTACCCATCCCAGGGGCCCCCATTCAGATGCCCTGTACTCACACAAAGTTAAAGCAGTAGACTTTAAGTGCCTTAATGAACAGTCTAATTCTAGGTTAAGTGTTGGGTCAGCTTCAAGTCCTCTCAGTATTAAAGACGGTAGAAATCTTACACACCCAACAAGAATAAACAATAAAACCTGTGTGTCTTTCTCAATTATCATACCATCACAGAGATACCTGCAAAGTTACCCCAAAAATTACTAACAGGAGTCAGGCATAGAGGCTCACAATCCCCAGCACTTTGGGAGGCTGAGGTGGGAGGATCGCTGAGCCCAGGACTTCAAGACCAGCATGAACAACACAGTGAGACCCCATCTTTACAAAAAATTTTTTACAAATTAACCAAGCACAGTAGCACATGCCTATAGCTGCAGCTACTCAGGAGGCGGAGGTGGAAGGATCCCTTGAACCTAGAAGGCTGAAGCTGCAGAAAGCTATTATTGTGCCACTATACTCCAGCACTCCAGCTTGGGTGACAGAACAAGACCTCGTTTCCAAAAAACCAAAAAGAATTAATGTGTACTCTAAGTTACAAATATTACTTTATTTTTGCTAAGTCTACAGATACTATGGTAATTCTGCTACCGAATAATGAAATCTGCTTCCTTTTTAATGCTGAACCAAGAGCCCACCTCTGGGAGTAAAACATTTACCTGGCCTACAGTGAACTACTTAATAAAATCTCCTGAGATTTCATGAGTCACAAACTGCTCTTATTATAAGCAGATAGCTCAGTGAGCCAGCTACCCTTCCTCAGGCTCATAGTAAGAGAGGAAGAACATCGACCTCGGAAACCATATTCTGACATATCCTCTTCCAATAGAGACCAGAAATCATACAGTCTACTTTCAGGGGCCATTATGACCCAGACTTTTCCTAGTTAGGCAATTTTAACCAATAAAAAGTTAGAAAAATTCCATTACTTAGCAGTAAAGAGGAATAGCTAGGATACTGAACCTCAAATAGGTTATGCCAGGTGAAAGAAGTCAGTCACAAAAGGCCACTTATTGTATGACAATTTACATGAAGTATCCAGAACAGGTAAATCTATATAGAAAGATTTGTGCATGTGGTGATTATTAGAAACACCTAGTTACCTAAGGGAGCTTGCCTAATTCTAAGTGAGGGTTACTTAAAACGATTATGTTTCTATATAAAACTGAGGCAATTTTAGTTTTAGTAGTGGGGGCTTTATTCATTGGACATCTTAATTATTCAGGGCTAGGGTGTCTCGGTGCCCTGTGAATGGGTTTTTGGGATGATGAAAATGTACTACAATTTTTTGTTTTTAACACTCAAACTTACAAGACAAACTAATTTTGGCACTAATCAAATTCCACTGAAATCACCAGTTTGCTTGTGGTTTTAAAATTCTCCCTCCCAGGGAGAGAAGTAGCTGTAAGTACTTGCGTATTGCCAACATGCTCAACTGGCTCATGTGTTGAATGGTGCCAAAATAGAAATAAAACCTCAACGATTCTTTATAAAATGCCTCCTAGCAGTAACAGGCGCTGGCTGGGCAACCACTGAGCTGAATGACTCCACACCCTGCACAGGAGGCTGGCTGGGCCTTTCCTGAGCATCCTCCTTCCTCAATGCTTCCCAGCAGTGCCCAAGAGGACCAGCAGATGGCAGTCTTCAGCCTGGATCTTGGGTTTTAAGGGCCACTGCATTACAGTAGCTATTAGATTTCAACTGGGCTATTGCAATAAGCAATTATGTTTTCTGCAGTCTTCTAAAATGCTTCAGACTACATGAAAGATAACTCAAACACTACAGTTAAAAATCACTAAAGGAGTGAATTTCTATCACTAACAGAACAAGGCAGGGTATAAAAATTATATCCAACAGATAAAGCCCTTACTACTAAAACACAGGATGCTTTAGTTTCATATAGAAACATAATTAAGTAATCCCAACTTAGATTTAGGCAAGGTCCCTTAAGTAACTAGGAGTTTATAATAATCACCACATGCACAAAGGAAAAAGCTGTGAACTGCACTACAGATGGACACCCTTCACACCATCTTGCTGTGTTAGAGCAATCTCTGCCTTCAGTAATAAATCCAATTAAGTGCTCTCTCATCACAGTAGGACAAAGCCCTAATCAAGCACTGGTTCAGCATGGTACTGTGAAGTAACTGCTGCTGGCAACTTCAGGAATCATGACCACAGTCTACAGACAACTAAATTCAGGAAATGGTTGTCAAGAGTCACAGGCATCCTGCCACCTAGGACGGCAAAGCAGAGTATGGTGGAGGGTCCCAAACATTCTTCCACACACCCCTTACAAAGCTCCCAAATAATATACCAACCCAGTTTGAAGCTCAGTGATACAAGACACATGTTCTGAGACAGAGACCAGTTAAATGAAGCCTGCCTGATTTTACATGGACTACGCCAATAACTTTCATTTATGATCTTTTGAAAGACTTTCTTTGAAAAACTGCAAATAAAAATTTCATTTATATATATCCCCTTGTGTCTCTAGAAAAAGGAGAAAAAAACCTAGGGTGATGACCTCTAGAATAAATTTTAGAAGGGAGAAAAGGGCTTCCTATTTTTATTACATTTTAAAAAGTTTTTCTTCAACCAGCCCTCTTAGGCTTCTCTGCCCAAAGGGAGAATTCACCTAAAGCCTCTTATTTTGCAAATGAGAGTACCTTCCCCCTTTCAGTCAAAGTCAGCAATCCCCACAAATGCCATGGCTACTATACCTAACACAACTGTTGACCAGAGCAGCAACTGGCTGCTTTCCCCATTCCAGCTGAGCTGATCATTGATAAAACTCATAAATCCTTTCAGCTTTCACTACTCTCTAGTTCCTGTAGCATCCTTACCATCTGAATGATAGGTAAATTTGGTAACTGACCTTTCTAGGGGTGTGTGAAAACAACAGTGATGAGAATTGAGATTGAAAACATAATGGGTTCCACTGGGCCAGAGCAAATACTTTTCCATCTCTCTCCATTCAGAGTAGGCATCAGAATTTGCCTTTAGTAGACTAAATGAACAAGCTGGTTACCTCTGTAGGAATTCCACAATGAGACAAATCCCTTCCTAAAATCTCAGTATTTCAGTGGAATGAAGTTTCTAACTGTAAGCCACTGAATTGGCCCAACTCAGGGAGAGTACAAAAAGCTGGCAAACTGGGAAAACGAAATGAAGAACATAAACATTACAAAGAGATGACATCCGAAACCTTTCCAGAATAAGAAGGAATGACTTCTTTAAAATTTAACAGGTTTCTGTGAGAACAGAGATATTCACTGAATTATAAAAGTAGCGCTCAGAACCTACTCCAAATGTTGGTACAGAAGCCCAGTGTTTATAGGCCCTCGTTCAGAACCAGAACATATCTGCAAAATAAGAACTATCATTCCCATTGTGCATTAGGAACAGACTGAGGTCGGTGAGGGAACTTATTTAAGGTGCCTTAGCAAGGAGTGTAAGAATATACCTAAATTCAGATCTGTGACTCCAAAATCCGTGCTCCATCACCATGCCACCATCCCCATCTAGAACTTGCATCCCTTGGCTCTCATGCCTCTGATCAACTAAAATCTACCCAGTCATGCCCCAGCCTTCTTCCCTAAATGCTTCCTCTCAAAACAGAGTTCTTCCACATGTCAAAGTTTCAACTACAAAGACAATCAGAGCTAACTCAACTCTATATTTCTCAATCCAAAAGCTCTGCTAACATCTGAAGCTAAATGCTTAGTAAGCACATTATCTTCTCACAGAATATAAGAAGGATCTTGAAATAGCAAGTCCAGCCACTTTACGACTAAAACTTCCTTATCTGTGTCAAACGAACCGCCAGCTAGTGTTCTGAATGCAGTCAGTACTGATGTGTTACTGGAGGAGAAGCTTTAGCAATACAGCCTAGAAAGTTCTCTGACCCCTCCCCTCCCTTCCCAGGTTAGCAGCAGCAGAGGCAGCAGACCCCATGCAGCAGGGCAGCAGCACCAGCCTAAGCTGGGACTGGTCCAGTGTAACTTACCTATACACGACAGCAGGGATGCGCTTCCAGGACCTGAAACTTGCTACACTTTCTAATTCTTTGTCAGTGATCCAGGCAGGCACTATGAGCTCTTGAGGATAGCTACCACATAATCTAAAGAGAAGATGAGAAGTGGGGAGATGAAGCGGGGAGAGACAAGGAGACAGAGAAACACTAGGTGGGCCAGCACAAGGATAATGATCTCACTGCCACAGAGCTAAAGGCAATGAGATGCTTTATTTGAGTTCTGGTTTCAACAGAACGGGTTATCATAAGTTTATTTTGTTTTGGGTTTTTTTGCCTTAAATGTTTACTTATGTGTATATATCGAGTGATACTATCTTGGATTGTTCCACTTGATGCTACCTTTTGGAAATCTGGCAATCTTAACTATCAATGAAAAAAAGGGGGAGTTGAGGGTCAGTCTCTTATACTCCATTATAACTCTTCTGCTGTAACAAGTACATAGGTTATTTCTAACTGCATGAGCACCCAGGCTAATTACAGAACTGAGAGTCTGTGTCAGCTCTACCAGACCCTCAGTGAAGGACAAAAGCCCACAATTTCAAGTTTCCAGAGACTTCACAGGATTAACTCATTCTGTGATTTGAACCAAACAGGGTATCATCCTTATAGATAACAGGTGCAACCATGGGTCTGCAAAACCAATACCACAAGCCAGCCTACTTGCATACACAACCTCGGTCCCCCTGAACCAGGTTAGTAATGTGACTAAGCTATTAATCATAATTTCCAAGGCCGGGCACGGTGGCTCAAGCCTGTAATCCCAGCACTTTGGGAGGCCGAGGCGGGTGGATCACGAGGTCAAGAGATCGAGACCATCCTGGTCAACATGGTGAAACCCCGTCTCTACTAAAAATACAAAAAATTAGGTGGGCATGGTGGCGCGTGCCTGTGGTCCCAGCTACTCAGGAGGCTGAGGCAGGAGAATTGCCTGAACCCAGGAGGCGGAGGTTGCGGTGAGCCGAGATCGCAACTTTGCACTCCAGCCTGGGTAACAAGAGCGAAACTCCGTCCCAAAAAAAAAAAAAAAAAAAAAAAAAAATCCATAAAACATACTTAAGAATTAATTAGGGTGGGGGGTAAGCTTTTTTTTTTTCATTAGGGAAGATGCTCGCTGCAGTCAAGCTGGTATCCTGGGAAGCAATACTTTCAATAGATTTTTACTTACAGGACAATGTCTCTTTCTGGATCATCCAGTCTTCTTTTTCAATAGTGAAGGCAATAAGGCCTCTTATTGCCAAATGGTAAAACACACAAACTCCACCACACCACCAACCCCCTGCCCTAGCCTATCCCATACGTAGCGGAAAGTGCAGAAAAACACAAAATAGCTTAGGAGTTGGGGGTTTTGATCATTTTGCACTAAATGTCTCTCTCCTGTTCTCGATTTCCTGAAGATTGAGTCTCAGGAATTTAAAAGCCACTGAACAAACAGAATGGCTACGACTAACAGTAGCTATACAACCTTCCTAACACCTATTTACAAACTCCTAAAAATAAGCTAAGACCCAGTAATGATGGCTAACATCTAACCATAAATCTCATTCCCTTTATTTTGTCTTAAACTCAAGAGTAAATCTGGCTCTCACTCTTCATAGTAGGAAGGACTTTCAACATCCTGCTGTTTCCTCCCCCCAACCCTCATTTTGTCTTATGGGGGTGATAACATTCTAAAGATTGGCTCTGAGGTAGAACTAGTAAATTCCTTGAGACAGTTTTGCTCTGTTACCTAGGCTACAGAGCAGTGGAGCAATCATGGCTCACAGCAGCCCTGACCTCCCCAGTAGCTGGGACTGCAGGCATGCACCACACCATGCCCAGTTCATTTTTTTAAAAAATTTCTGGCCAGGCGCAGTAGCTCATGCTTGTAATCCCAGCACTTTGGGAGGCCGAGGCGGGCGGATCACCTGAAGTCAGGAGTTTGAAACCAGTGTGGCCAACATGGGGAAACTTCATCTCTACTAAAAATACAAAAATTAGCCAGGCGTGGTAGTGCGTGCCTGTAATCCCAGCTACTCGGGAGGCTGAGGCAAAACTGCTTGAACCTGGGGAGCAGAGGCTGCACTGAGCCGATGTGTCACTGCACTCCAGCCTGGGAGACAGGGTGAGACTCCATCAAAACTGGGTGGAATCAACCCTCCTATCTTGGCCCTCCAAGAAGTTAATTTTTAAAATCCCTATTAATTAGGGATTATTTTCCAACAAGTCTGGCTTAATTCAGTTTTTTTACTGAAGCTCATCTTCTAAACATTCTGTTCACTGTCCTATAGGTACTACACTGCCTAGTACTCAACTCCTCAGTATGTACTACCTCTTTATTTGTGGATAAACAATTTCCAGTTTAACAGGTTACACTCAGGAAAGCATAATGCAGCCACAGACTCTCTGAGGCCTGAGGGAGTTTAAACCAGTTTTCACCCTCCTTTGCTTTGACTCCTCACTGAGAATAGGCAAAGGTATAAAAAGTCTATAGCTCCCAACTCTTCAAAACACCCTGGGTTCTTAACTCCCTGGAGAAGGTCCACATTAAGAACTATGTATAGCAATTAGCTACAGCTTTTCCAATGAAAAATGAAACACTGATGGCTAGCCACAAACAGACCAGGAAAATGGCTATCATAATTTGAGACAGCTAAAAGGAAAAGGACCACAGATTAGTGATGCAGTGAAATGTTGGAGAAGGATATATTTAAAGATTTCAGATATATAAATATCCTGGACAATTTTTTTTGGTTTTATAGAAATTTGGATCACCAAAATAGTAGTAGTTAACTGTCCTCCCCCACCAAAGCACTCACACATTTTAAGGAAAAGGGTAATGACTAAATGGCTATTTTTTATTTTTAGAAGGAGTCTCACTCTATCACTCTATCTATCTATTGTAGTGGTGCAATCTCAGCTTACAACCACTGCCTCTCAGGTTCAAGAAATTCTCCTATCTCAGCCTCCCAAGTAGCTGGGACTACATGCGTGCACCATCATGCCCAGCTAATCTTTGTTTCCCCATGTTGGCCAGGCTGGCCTCAAACTCCCAATCTCAGGTGATCCATCTCAGCCTCCCAAAGTGCTGGGATTACAGGCATGAGCCACCACATGTGGCCAAATAATGGATACATTCATATTTAATGGTTAAATGATCATAACAGTGAAGCTGGTTTAAGATCAATATATTAAAGGACAAAATACAGACTGAGCATCTTTAATTCAAAAATCTGAAATGCTCCAAAATCTAGAACTTTGAGTGCTGATATGATGACACAAGTGGAAAATTCCACACCTGACCTCATGTGATGTGTCACAGTCAAGTCACAGTCAAAACTTTCTGTACAAAACATCATGCAGGAAATCATTTAAAATATTGCATAAAATTACCTTCCGGCTATGTGTATAACGTATATATGAGACAAAAAATTGTGTGTTTAGACTTGGGTCCCAGCCCCAAGATAATCTCATTATATTTATGCAAATACTCCAAAACCTGAAAAAAATCCAAAATGTGAAACACAGTTCCAAGAATTTCAGATAAGGGATATTCAACCTGTACTTATGTCTTTTTCACAGCACCTGGAGTAAAATTACAGTCACAAAAACTAGTTCATAAATGTTCTGTCACTGCTTATAAGACCACTGATCCTATCTCTGATGTGATGCCAAGTGGTGATGAGAAAAATGGTAACTGCTTGCCTACAGGCAAATACAGTATTATCTAGACATGCATGTACCAGAAAAAAAAACAGAGGCCTAAAGGGGGTAGAAGGGAAGGTTCTAGGATCCTGTTAAGTAAGAATCACTTTCCAAACTCCAATAACAGCAATTGGAACAAGGTTCAATAACTAATCTGAAGATCATGCCTTTAGATTTAATAAATAAAACTATTTCAAAGAAAAAGTCTAAGTTCACATGTTCTGTCACATGAGAATTGGGGTTTCTGCAAAGGCACTGGCTGTGAAAGACAGTCCACAGGGATCCATATAACTCACTTGTACTTCTCATTGATGTTGGAAATCCTCCAGGCGTTGTTCATATCAAAACCCATTCTCTCCACCTCGTTTTTAAACCTTGAAGTTACGTGCTCCCCTTGAGGCCAAAGATAAACACCAGAAAGGAAGAGATGAGTACCATTTTGTGAAACAGGTAGAATAAAAACATAGAAATATACATACGTTTTATATATATATAATATACTTTTACATATATATATATTTTTTTTTGAGACAGAGTTCCACTCTGTCACCCAGGCTGAAGTACAGTGGTGTGATCTCAGCTCACTACAACTTCCGCCTCCTGGGATCAAATGATTCTTGTGCCTCAGCCACTGGAATGGCTGGGATTACAGGTGCATGTCACAACGGCTGGCTAATTTTTGTACTTTCAGTAGAGATGGGGTTTCACCACATTGGCCAGGCTGGTCTCGAACTCCTGGCCTCCTGTGATCCGTCCACCCCAGCCTCCCAAAGTGCTGGGATTAGAGGCGTGAAACACTGCGTCCAGCCTGTATATTTTTAAAGGTAGGAACTGTATAAATAATAAAGTAACATATATTTAGTTTTAGTTTAGAAAGACCCCTGTCAGGTTAAGATTATGAAGAGGAAATAAATTAGTTCTGATTAAGAGTTATGTTATCTCATTGAATCTTTTCAATTAACTCTGAGAACAGTAGTATCACTGAGCTTACTTTACAATGGACAAAATTACAACAGAGAAGTTATTATGGCAGGCCTATCCAGCCCCAAAACTCATGCTCTTGTCACTGGCTACTTTTCTACTTCCACACTCAGACTGACAGTACCCTTAAGAAATAAAATCATTAACAAGATCACCACACGTAGCAATAAATCCTCATCCAAAACCCTTTGATCCAAATTTTAGAACTTGAGAGTTTTCCAAACGTTCAAAAGGTAAAACTGCATATATAATAATATTCGGCTCACACTCTTAACAGGATCTCCTTAAAAAAGTACTAACATTTCTTCTGTAAAGGGTATGGATCATTCATACCAGGTGGGGTAAATAAAGCAACAAATAGCCTCACATCAGCTCAGATCAGGTCCAGCCATGATACCAAATAGGGTATGAAAAACATTCTGGTTTCCAGAGCCTTTTAGATGATAGAATTGCAGGTTAGCAAACAGGTCACAGAATCGTCTAACTGCCAGCCAGGAATCTCAGGAAACACCGTACTACTAAGTGCTGATCATTTGTAAGAACAGCCACCCAAACTGGTATAATCTGGCTGTATTTGCCTCAATTAATCTGGCTTTCTTTTCCTTAGGAGAGCAAAACAAAGGTAAAATGAAGCTAACATAAATTCAGTAAATCTGAAATAACTTTCTTCCTTGAAAACACATCCAGTCCTATGGCAGTACGTTATTTTTAAAAATATTAAGCTGTACCTCTAATATACAGTGTTATAGGTTGTAAAATAAATGCTGGCAGGACTGGAAGAAACCACAACAACAAAAGCACAAAACAGACTTTGCTTTGTTGATCAAAGTATAAAGCTTTGTTCTCCCTGGGAGAGGAGCTACAGAATAGGAAACAGCAATTACTTGAATGGAAGAGAATTCTGTTAAACTACTTCTCATTTAAACTGCATTTCTTGAGCTCAAGCTAGGTATTATATGTTTCCTGAAGGAGACCTATAAAAAGATGAGGTTGAGAGGCACAAGAAAAAATAATAGCTAAATCCATCCCATTTTGGAAAAGTTTTAGAAGCAATGTAGCAGGCTTCCGAATAGGAAAAATGCTATGTGAACTGGGGTGCCATCTGTCTAAAAATTGCAAAGAATACTGACCACCAAGAATACTAGGCCAGATGTGGTAGCTCATGCCTGTAATCCCAGCACTTTAGGAGGCTGAAGCGGCAGACTGCTTGCGCCCAGTAGTTCAAGACCAGCCTGGGCAACACAGTGAAACCCCGTCTCTACAAAAATGCAAAAATTAGGTTGTGGTGGTACATGCCTGTAGCCCTAGCTACTTCAGAGGCTGAGGTGGGAGGACTACCTGAACCTAGGGAAGCTGAGGCTGCAGTGAGCCGTGATCACACCACTGCACTCCAGCCTGGCCAACAGAGTAAGACCCTGTCTCAAAAAAAAGAAAAAAGAAAAAAAAAAAAAAAAAAAAACCAGACAAGGGGACATTTTGGGTCCTGCTGTACAATGGAGTCTTTAATTCATAATTCCAAACTAAAAGCTGCAAA